TATTGGTCTCTGTATTTCTCCCATTGCTCCCAATGATCTTAAATGAAATTTTGTTAGCTAGAAACAAAAGCCATTTATTCCTTGCTGAGAGGCAATTATATATATTGCTTTCTCTTAATGAAATATTCTTGTTTATGGTCGGTCTGTCTTGCCTTTAACCCTCTTTTAGCCCTCAGTTTCTAAAGATTTTAAAAGGTTTCTTTTCTTTTTGTATTTCTGCATTTTGAATGGTTCTCCTGTGAATATAAGTATGGTTTCGTATAATTCACATTCCATTGGTTCCTTTGAATCCCACAAACCATTGTTTCTGATAATAGCAACAATGAACCTGAATTGTTTTATCATCACTGAGGTCACAAATGTCAGAATCAGTCAGTGGCTTAGAGGGATGATGCTTTATTAGTCTTATGATGGCACAACCATTGCTTTTCTCTGAATTCTTGTCACTAGAACATAAGGAAAATGTGTGTAATATCCAATTACATGGCATTACATTCACTTAAGTTGCAGTTAATTCTAAGTGAAATTATACAATCTTTCTCTCTGTACCTTAGCTCCTTATATTGATTTTCCTTGGTCAAGGAAATTTTAATCACTTTCCACTAGCCTTGTATTTGTTCTTCTAATGTCATGCAAAATATTTTGACTCTCCCCTCCTCAGCCTAAGAGCTTCCTAAATAGAGGCCCCCATCCCTATTCTCATAGTTTTGTGTTTTGCTTTTTGTCAGGAGTGAAAAACAGGTGGGTGGTATGATTTAGGGGAAAGAACATCAGACTTGGATTCTAGTCCTGGCTTTGTCATTAACTAGCTTTGGTACTCCAGGCAAGTGACTTGCCCTCTCTGGTTCATTTCTCATCTGTAAAACAGAGTGGCTAGACAAGACGATCTGAGGTTAGTTCCAAAGGGAGAACCACTGGCCTCAGGCAGTAAAGGCAGGAGAGAAGGTAGAAAAATGATAAGGTTTCAGGAAGGGGATTTTGGTCTTTGGTCAAGAAGACCAGGCTACTCTAAAGAGCCAATGATCATTTCATACTTTATCCATTACCCCTGACATTCCCTAATGGGAATGGAGAATCCAATAGCCATCGTCATATGTACATTTCAGAACATGACATTTAAAAAGGGATTTGAGACGTCTTCTGGTTAACTCCTTGGTTTTTATGATGAAACTGAGTCCCACAGTAATAGTAATATGTGCTATTACTACTAGTAGTTCTAGTGATAGCTACCATGAAATGCTCATTGACAAAATCTTCCTGCAACATTGTGTATTTCAAAAGAATCCATTCTTTATAATACAGCTGACTGCAACTAACCATGCCCCATCTTTGTAACTGCTTCTGATAGTCATTTGTGGTTGCTTTGCTCTTATTTAGGAACAGGAATACTTTGCTAGAAACAGTACCAAGTGTTCACTACATCTATTCTAGCTTCTGTATTTAATACTTTTAAATTTTAGATGTCTTTTAAACAGTTTGCTTAATTTTGTACAATTTTCTTAAGCATAGCATCCAAGCAATTCATTTGATGGTTACAATCTAAATTATTTAAGGTATAAACGCCTATTAGATCTACCTCATTAAGGAACTTGGTAGTATTTCTTGGGCAGTTTCCAGACTTCCTTACAGAAACAGGGCTATTTCTCTTTGCCATCTTTAAACTTCTTTTCAAACTACTTCAGAACTAGTATCTAATTTCCCTTTTTGCTGTGCTATATGATGTAACTTCCGTGGGATTAAGAGTCAAGGTAGAAAGAAGCAGCAGTGGATGTTTCATATTCTCCCAAAGTAGTCTCTTCAGTTATGTTAGTTTCAGTCCTGCCACTAGGGCCATATGCTCTCTCCAGCTTGTGAGGATTTCTGTTAAAAAATGACTTTAATAGAATTCCCTTGTATTATTGCCCAAGTGTTTCCTCTGCTCTAATATTTGTTATTTCTCAGTACTTTTTATTGGCAGGACAGAGGAGAAATGTATCTGTTGACCATTTTGTTTCTCTGGAAGTCTGAGCAATAAAGAGATCCTTTTATTTGTAAAGATGAATTACTACTCATACTATAAGGGCTTTCTATTTTTAAAATGTATTCAATCACTGCTTGCCATTTTTTTAAAAAACCCAAAGTTGAAAATAATTTGAATCACAGGATGTTTATAGCCATGTGTGTGTGATTCAGGCCAGCCTGAAGACATGTCTGCTCCTGAACCTTTTCTTTTCAAGTAGTGCAGCCATGGGTCCACCCTCTGGTGACCTGCCACTCCTTCTTCACTACCACTCCACTCCGGTGTAAGCTAGCCCTGTGCCTTCCTGAGCAGCCCCTCCTGCAGAGCACCTGCCAGAGTTTGGCCGTGAAGATTACTGGTACTGAAGGCTCTGCCTTTCATTAGTTTCAAAGTCTTGCTCTACAAGCAAGGATCCTAAATACTTTGATTTGTGGTATTTGTCATTATGTTGAGTTTGAACTTTTAATTCTACAATTCCTTTTTAGTCGACACCGTGAAGTATATGTCTTGTCTCCTTTACTGTTTCTGCCTTGAGCAATGGACTCTGCATGTTAAAAGGCATCTTTATCTTATCCACAACAGACATTCCCCTTCTCGCTTTAAAAAAGCAAAGGCTGCCTGAATTGCATCACTTATGGGGGTTACTAAGATTGTATGTTTTTCTATGCTTCGGCAAAAAATAATTTTGCTGAACAGTTCTTAAAATCCTCACTGATAAATACTGTCAAATCATTGTAGAGCAAAATGAGCAGAGGGGGGGCATTCTCCCTTATACCGGAACATGAGTATGTGTGTTACCTATGCTGACGTGTGACCACCATTCACTCCAGGACCAGAAGGAAGGAGTGCTGCAGATAAACTTATTACCCTACTAGGATCATCAGTTTTGGTCTTTGCAACCAGCATGACTTTAAGGCAGTAGCTAATCGTTACCCTTGCCATATGGACAGCATTTGTCACTGTTAAGTTAAAGACAAAAATATTCTGGGTTAAGAAAGGCAGGTGTTTTAATTTCCTTTGATGTTTTAAAAACAACTGAGAATTGTTGAGGGACCCTTGAAAACATTATGGAAAATTCATTTAATCTTCTAGGTGCGTGATGACTTATTTTGGAAGAAGTAGCTGGGACAACAGTCTGTAATCATTTTCCATTCATTCATGCAATATTTGGTATGTGTCTGACGCTGGAAATAATGCAAACATAGTAATTCAGATAATCTCCATTCACCAGGAATTCGTGGATGGGCATAATACAGTTATTTAGTTAAATGCAACCAGATCTGTTTTTCTAAACTTATTCATCTTTAATAAAATAAAATTGAAGTTAAAATAGCTGAAACTTGCACTTACTTCATTCGTTGCCACTTTGTTGGGGGGAACCACAGAAGTGTTAACATATGGTTCTTTGGGTTGGATCATACTGCCCTCTGCTGGCTAATTAACTAAGGACAACCTTAGTTTGGGGATCAGGAAATAATGGTATGGGAACCTACCCTGGTGATTATAGTTCTCTTTTTTTTTTTTTTATCCTCACCCAAGGACATTCTTTCGATATTTTGTTCAGATAGAATGGGAGGGAGAGAGAGGAAGAGAGAGAGAAACATCGACATGAAAGGAACACATCGAGCCGTTGCCACCCACACAACCCAACCAGGGCCAGGGACAAACTGCAACCGAGGTACATGCCCTCAGCAGGAACCGAACGAGGTCTCTCCGGACCACAGGCTGACACTCTAACCGCTGAGCCAAACTGGCCAGGGCTACAGTTCCCTTTTTAAAAGAATTCTGTCTATAAGAGGTGATATGCCATTAACAGGAGCAATGTGAAAAGTAACATTTAAAAAGGAGCCCCTTGCCCTGGCCGGTTTGGCTTAGTGGTTAGAGCGTCGGCCTGCGGTCCTGAGAGACCCGGGTTCGGTTCCCGCTAAGGGCAAGTACCTTGGTTGCAGTTTGTCCCTGACCCTGGTTGGGTCGTGCGGGTGGTAACCACTCGATGTGTCCCTTTCACATCGATGTTTCTCTCTCTCTCTCTCCCTCCCCACTCTATCTGAATAAAAATGAAAAAATGTCCTTGGGTGAGGATAAAAAAAAAAAAAGGAGCCCTAACTGTAACCATACCTAATGACATTTTTTTAATTAACTAATTTTTGTTACAGATGTTTCCCTAATGACATTCTTGATCCAGTGACTTTCATTTTCATTTACTTATTTTGTTAATCCTCACTGGAGGACATTTTTTTTTTATCCTCACCTGAGGACATTTTTGCATTTATCTTCAGATATAGTGGAAGGGAGAGAGGGAGGAAGAGAGACAGAAACACTGATGTAAGAGAGACACATCAACTGGCTGCCACCCACACAACCCCAACCAGGACTGGGGACAAACTGCAACCAAGGTACATGCCCTTAGCAGGAATCAAACCTGGGACTTTCTGGTCTGCAGGCAGATGCTCTAACTGCTGGGCCAAACCAGCCAGGGCTGGAGTATATTTTTTCATTGATTTTTTTTTTTAAGCTAGAGTAGGAGGGAGGGAAGAAGGGAGTGGAAGGAGAGAAACATTGGATATTTTTTCATTGATTATTTATTTATTTATTTATTTAATCCTCACCTGAGGACATTTTTTCCATTTTTTTGTTCAGATAGAGTGGGAGGGAGAGAGAGGAAGAGAGAGAGAGAGAAACATCGACATGAAGGGACACATCGAGTGGCTGCCACCCGCACGACCAACCAGGGCCGGGGACAAACTGCAACCGAGGTACGTGCCCTTAGCGGGAACCGAATCCGGGTCTCTCTGTACCGCAGGCCGACGCTCCAACCGCTGAGCCAAACCGGCCAGGGCTCACTGATTTTTTTAGATAGAGTAGAAGGAGGGGAGTGGAAGGAGAGAAACATTGATGTTAAAGAGACACATAAACTGGTTGCCTCCCACACAACCCTGACTGGGGCTGGGGACGAACCTGCAACCCAGGTATGTGCCCCTGACTAAGAATCAAACCCGCAACCCTTCAGTCCACAGGCTGATGCTCTAATTGCTGAGCCAAACTGGCCAGGGCTTGATCCAGTGACTTTCAGAAACAGGCAAAGAATTTTTAAAACTTGACCAATTTGGAAACCACAGGATATGCCAAGGTAATCCTCAGCAAAATCCAAGTTCTTGTGCTCTTAGGAGCTCTCTAAAGCAATTTCAGTCCTACGCAGCTGGTCCTCTTAGAATTATTTTGGGACTCTTCGGAGTTCATTCATGAGCCAGAGGGCAACACTGAGCAGAGCCAAGGAGCCTGACTGGTGAGTGGCAGCCAAAGGAGTTGGAACGTACATCAGCAGAGTGCTAATGCCCAAGGCCACCTGTTACAGAGGAGAGAAGGCAGTAAGCAAAGCAGGAAATTCAGAGCTGAACAACCAGATACACAAACCTCTATAGTCTCCCATCATAGCACTAAAAAAATATTTTTAATTTCAAAACTAAGTATACTCACAATGATGTAAATTCAAACAAAACAGATAGCCCCCCAAAATTTCTCTTATCTTTCACCCCATCCCAGTTCCCTTTATCAGTGACTATACATTTGTACTTTTGCATAAATGTTTTTAGAAAAACAGTTTTATACTTTAAAAAAATATTGTTCTGTTAGTTGCTTTTTTTCACTTAATATATATCTTGAGATATTATTTTAAACTTCTGTATAGTATCCCACAGTATAAATTTACCATAGTTGTTTATTTAATTACTTAGGTTGTTTTCAACTTTTCACCACAGCAATTCTATAATGAATTTCCTTATAGATATAGCTCTTTGTGCATTAGACTATCTCTAGGGCAGATGCTAATAGGTCAATTTGTTGGGCCAGGGGATCACACATTTAACATTTTAAAAGATATTGCCAAACTGCCCTTTGAAAAATGCCAAACTCATGCTCTCACCAAGGACAATAATAAAGAATATATGAAGGTATCTATTATCTTATACCTGTGCCAATAACTGATTATCTTTTTTTTTTCCAATCTGACAAGCACAAAATGACAGGCACTGTTTTACTCCTCTTTGATCATGAGTGAGACTACACAGCATTTCATATTAACTGACCATTCATTATTCCTCTGGTGAGAATTGTGTATTGATATCCTTATTTTATCTTTGGTTATTCATCTTCTAGTTTAAGTGTTGAAAATATTTTCCCCTAACCTGTTACCTTTCCTTGGCAACCTTGTTTTTGGGGATACCCTCAGGCCAAAACGAAGTGTATACCTGTGTATACGCCACAGCCAGCAGAGTCACTGCGGCCATCTTGGTCCTTCGAGGGAGGGGAATTCTCCGGGACAGGAAGTAGAGCGCTGTAACGGCAGTGACTGAAGTGATTCCCTGCGAGGAGGAAAGAGTCTCATCAAGTGCCAGGAAGAAACGTCCCACCCTCCCGATTTCCGCTCGCCTTCCAGAACCAGTGAGTAACCACCAGGCCCTTTCCTGTCCCGGGCAAAGAACCACCTGCAGCTCCACCTCTGATTACTTCTGGGTCTCCCACTCCTTTTCTGCTGGCCTCTTAAATGCAGGTGTTCCCCAGGGTGCCACCTGAAGTTTCTGCACCTATCACTTTATACACTCTCTCAGCGATCTTAGCCACTTTCCACTGTGGGTGTCCCCCAGGCATGGCTCTCACATTTTAAATCCCTCTTTGCACCCTATTCCTTGTTTTATCCCTACTCTAATCCCGCATTTTTAGAGCAGGGCTGACCCCATCCCATGAGGGTTATTATTTTCCGGGCTGAGAGGAGAGGAGGTGGTAGTGTTGCCAGCTAGTGCTAAAAAGATCTCAGGTCTCGTTTTCATTCCTGCCCCTTCAGAACGAGCATCTGGGACTGGCAACAGGGCCTCCATTCCCCTTCCATGATGGCAACGAGAATGTTTTCCTATTATATCTGTATATCTATTTCACCTCTTTTCCTTTTCAGAGCTGTCCATGATCATTTCAACCAGACTTTGCTTATTCTAAAATGTGTGGCAGGGCGACTGAGCCCACACACGGTGACTTGCGCAGCCCCAGCATTCCGGGATGTCCTCTGGATTCTGTGGGATCACTCTATCCTCTCACACTCCATACCTCAGTCTGATGACATCCTCTCATGTCTAGCTCAGCACTCATCCCAATATTCCCATTTCTGTTGGTTTGTTTTAAGCATGCCCCAGAGAAACTCTGGGATCTCCCTTGATCTTTCCTCATCCTCATTTCTACAGCCAATCTTCTATTTCTTACAACCTCACTTGGATGCATCCTTCTTAAATCCACTCCCGCCACGAAGCCTTGAGCCCCCCTCACCTGCATTACGGCAGTAGCACTACTGCTTCCCACTGGTCTCCTCGCTGCTGATCTTTTTCTGCTCCAATGTGTCATGCAGGCCACCAGGCCAATCTTAACATGACCCGTAGCAGCCCCTTAGTAAACATTAAAAAAAAAGGACACGATGCTCTTGGCTCCTTGGGGTTCTGGCTCAGCTCTGACAGCTCTGTTCTCAGCAACCACTGTCTTTGCACTCTCTTCTCTACTCCTTTTATCTGCTAAAATGACTCTCCTATGTGTGTGCAAAGTTGAGGGAGGTTATCATTTGCCAGATGGTAAAAAACAGATTCAAACTTTGAGAAACTGGCAGTATCCTGAAAGCCAGAATTTGGCTGGAGGGTGTGTTGATAATTAGGAGAAAAATACCCCATCAGAGAACTGGAGCTCAATGTCTTCTGGGAAATAAAAGGAAATCTAGCACCCACTCTGTCCTTCACTGTTGCCATCAGTGCCTAAAACACCCCAAAGCCTGTGACAGGCTCCCTGTGCTCAGGAGCCAGTAATCACCAGCCAGACTTACCAGAATCCGGTGATCAAACTGCACCATGGTGGGATTCTCAAAAACATTCCTCAGGGTGGGGGAGAAGGTAAAGAGGTCCTCTGGGATCCAAGATTCTCCCATCTTGGGGAAGGAGTTATAAACAAGTCCAGCATCCAGTCCTGCCACAAAAGCCCCTGTATGCCAAGGTAAATAGTATTTGTTAAAATGAGAAAAAGAGGCCAAATACTATTCTGACATAGAAAAATTGTGATGTACATCCCAGAATTAAATAAAAGGAAGTACCAGAAAATAATCAATAGAAATATTTACAGTAGGGGTTCTCAAACGGGGAATATACATCACAATCACCATGAGAACTAAAAGAAAAACAACAACAATATCCTCACTTGCTCCTACCCCACGATTCTGGCATGCCTGCCCTGGAGAAGTGAACTAGAAGCTCTGGAGAGAGGCATACTAGTTTGCAAAAATTCCCTTAGGGACCACCCCCCGCTGGAATTACTGATCTATTCTAGAAGTGTTCTTCCTACAGACATCTGCATAATTTACTTCCTCACCTTATCAAAGAGACCTCCCCAATGATCCTATGTGAGACGGCACTCCCCTACCCCACCTCTACCCCTTCCCTTATCATGCTTTATTTTTCTTCACAGCACTGGACACTATCTGACATACTGTTTTTATTGTTTATCTTTTCCCCGAGTGCTCAAAATATGTCTGTTAAATGAACAAAGAAATGGAAAGCAAAACCTTATCAACTAAATCCTGGATAAACACATAAACAGGCTATTCATGAATTACGATCAAATTATTATTTTGATTCCATTATTTATGATTGAATTATTTATGATCAAAGAGGATTCAGGGATGTTTAGATCACATTCCTTATTCTGTAAATGCCATTTATCAAGGTAAAATTCATTCTCTTCCACCAAAAAAAGATGGAGGAGGGTTGGGTAGTTTACTGGTGTGATGGTTTTATTTTAAAGCAGTGCTGTCCAGTAGAACTTTCTGGGATGATGAAAATGTCTGTATCTGCCATCCAATATAATCGCTGCTAGCTACTTATGGCTACTGAGCCCTTGAAATGTGGCTAGTGTGACCAAGGAACTAAATCTGAAATTTCTAGCCCTGGTCGGTTTGGCTCAGTGGTTGGAGCGTCACCCTGCAGACCAGAGAGTCCCGGGTTCAGTTCCCGCTAGGCCCTAGCGGCTAGGGGCACGTACCCACCCCCCCCCAAAATCTGAAATTTTATTTAATTTTAAACAATTTAAGTTTAAATAGAAACATGAGACGAGCGATTACTGTATTGGATAGCACAGTTCTACAGTGAGAGGGGTAGAGGTGTGATTTAAAGAATGAGAAAGATCTGTGTTGGCCTCTTTATCCCGATGAACTCCCTACCTTAGAGAATCTTTGAGGGAAGGCCTTTTACCTGACCCATCATTGTATATGTAATAATAACAGTAATGCTTACATAATAATAACAGCTAATATTTATAAAGCTTTTGCTACATGCCAGGTACTCTTGTATGCACTTCACATGTTCTATTCATACTATTATCATCGCCATTTTACAGACGAGGACACTGAAGACCAGAGGGGTTCCAAAGCTTGCCCAAGGTCATAGAGTTCATTGGTGGTGAAGCCAGGATTGGAGCCTGGGCCGTCTGGATTGAGGCAGATGCTCAATATTTTTGTTTAATTGACTTAAAGAAGGATTTCTGGAAGGGAGAAAGGAACAGAAAACAGAAGGGAAAGATTCAAGGGAGGCTAGTGTGAGAGGGAAATATGAAGATGCAGGAAGAAAGGAAAAAGCATTAGGCAAGAGATCCGACCTGAGAGTGCAATGAAAATAGTGCATCTTGAAGAGTCCTACCTGAGAGAGCTGTGAGGAACACTAGGCCCGTGGTTCCGTGAGCAAATCGTCTCAGCCACAGGAGCTGGCGGGTTTCAGGCAACTACACAGAAAATCCCTCAGGTTAACTGTACTGCAGGAACCACGACAGGCAGCAAAGCTCTCCAAGGCTAAACCCAAGTGACAGTTTGAGGTCAAATCTTCTCTGACCCCTAAACTAGGTTAGGTACTCCCAGCAGATATTCTGTTCTGACATGCCCCATAATTATTAAATTTATACATTTACTGTCTGTCTTCTCTGCTATCCTGTAAGTTTTGTGAAGGCAGGAACTGCCGTCTGTCTTACTACAGTAGTCCAGCCTAGGGCTTGGCATGTAGGTACTCAGTGTATCTATTCAATAACTGAATGACTTGCATTGTTCAGGGAAAAAATGCTTCACCATGGTTGAAATGATGTGGCTTAAGATACAGGACTAGATTTTCATCTTGTGTGTGATATCTAGTGCTCAAATATAATCAGAATCAAAACTGCATAAGCCCTGGCCCGTTTGGCTCAGCGGTTAGAGTGCCCCGGGTTAAGTTCCTGCTAAGGGCACATACCTCAGTTGCAGTTTGTCCCCGGCCCCGGTTGGAGGTCATGTGGATGACAACCAGTTGATGTGTCTCTCTCACCATCGATGTTTCTCTCTCTCCCCCTCCCATTCTATCTGAAGATGAATGCAAAAATGTCCTCAGGTGAGGATTTAAAAAAAAAAAAAAAAACTGCATTAGATGCCTAGAGAGAAAATTCTTGCATTTAGTGTTTTGGTTAAGGTCAAAATTTGTTTTTATTTTTACTATAGCCAACTTCTGATACTAATCAGTGAATCAACAAATATTTATTAAGAACTTTATAAACAGTAACCATAAAGATACAAAAAGATTGCCTGGATATTTTGGCTCAGCAGTTAGAGCGTCAGACCAAGGATCAAAGGGTCTCGGGTTCAATTCCAGTTAAGAGTGCATACCTAGGTTGCAGTTTGATCCCTAGCCCTGGTTGGGGTGGTGCAAGAGGCAACCAATTGATGTGTCTCTCTAACATCAATGTTTCTCTCTCTTTCTTTGTCCCCCTCCCACACTATCTGAGGATAAATGGAAAAATATAGTTGGGTAAGGATTAAAAAAAAAAAGATACAAAAAGGTTAAGTCAGAGTGCTGCCCTCAAATGCTTTACAATCTAGTAGGTGAAGAATTAGGTGTCGCCCTGGCCGGTTTGGCTCAGCGGTTAGAGCATTAACTTATGGTCGAGAGAGACCTGGGTTCAGTTCCTGCTAAGGGCACACGTACCTGGGTTGCAGTTTGTCCCCGGCCCTGGTTGGGTTGTGTGGGTGGCAGCCACTCGGTGTGTCTCTTTCATGTCGATGTTTCTCTCTCTCTCCCTCCCACTGTATCTGAACAAAAAAATGGAAAAATGTCCTTGGGTGAGGATTAAAAAAAAAAAAAAGAATTAGGTGTCATTGCTAAGATTCTGTAGCCCAGTATGACGGTGCTGTCAAATAATTTCCTGTGATGATGGAAATGTTCTACTGTATTATCTGTGCTGCCCTCAATATGTGGATAATAACTTAAAACAAGGCTAGAGCAACTTAAAATTAAATAAAAGGTTAATTTTATTTAAAGTTGAAGTAAATAATAAGTTCATTTAAAGTTAATTTTATTTAATATTAATTCATTAAAATTTAAATAGCCACATGTAGCTAGTTAGCTACCATGTTGGATAGCATAGTTCAACTATAGGTTTGATTATCATCTCAAATTCTTTCTGTAATTAGTGGAATATAAATAAATTTTAAAAAGAGAAAAACAATTAATGGATAATTTAAAAGTCATTGGTAACCTTTAAGAGTACCATTTCAGTAGGGACTGTGTGGGAATGTGTGTATAATTAAGTGTGTAGGTGAATGTATGGGTGTATATGGATAGGGGTGGGTGGGGAAGCCAGATGACAAGAACTGAAAAGAAGGAATGGGTTGTCAGAATGTACAGTGATAGATATAGGCAATTCATTTTTGAATTTTGGCTTTGAAAGTAAGGAGAACAGGAATTATTCAGATATGAACTTGTCTACTATACCAATGTTTCAGGTCCATCTGGCTTCCCTGTGGGGTGACTACCAAGTCAACATCTCCTGTCCTTATTGGGATCCAGGCCACCGGCTCCAAGTACGTATTGCATGATTCTACTAGAGAGTCCTACTGCCATCCCAAAATCTACTCCATGAACAGATTATTAAGATCAACCATGACTTCAATACCCAAAATATTATTCATTAAAAAAAAAAAAAATTCAGCCCTGGCCGGTTTGGCTCAGCGGTTAGAGCGTCGGCCTGCGGTCCTGAGAGACCTGGGTTCGGTTCCCGCTAAGGGCGCGTACCTCGGTTGCAGTTTGTCCCCGGCCCTGGTCAGTTGTGTGGGTGGCAGCCACTCGATGTGTTCCTTTCACGTCGATGTTTCTCTCTCTCCCTCCCACTCTACCTGAACAAAAAATGGAAAAATGTCCTCCGGTGAGGATAAAAAAAAAAAAAAAAAAATTCATTAAAAAAAAAAAGCCTAGAAAAAACATTAATCAACTTACTGAGAAAATACTTTCAGGCAAGATCCCTAAGGTTTACTGTATTGTTCGACTTGATGAATGGCAGGTCCCCATCTAAAGAACAACCAACCCAGCATGGCCCCTGTGCACCACAAGGCCAGAAACCGCTCTCGTTCTGGCCTTTCTCCCTTGCCGTCTACCATCCCTCTGGGAGTCAGAAGTAGAAGGGTTGGGATATTTGTAACCCAGTAGAAGGATTGGTTCCCCTTCCCACTTTTTCTAAAATTTGTGTTTTCGCCTTTCCCAATAGGCAATGCTGACAAAATATTCAGCTCCTATACTATTTCTCCTTTGAATGAGTTGTTCCAGCTCAAAAGAATGACTGCACATTTACTCTGCAGTCCCAAAGTTCAGTGCTCCTCTAAGCTTTGGTAATATCTAGTTTCTGGTAAACTGAGGGAATGCGTACATCTTGACATAACTTCCTATCAGAACCAGAATCACCGTTTCTCGGCCCTGTCGGCATCTGTGCAGATGTGGTAACAATGTCCACTGACTTCACCTTGTGCTGAGGAAGCAGCAGTGAGAGCGAGGTCCACAAGCTGGCACAATAAAGAACAAGGGCTGATCCTAGGTGGGCAGCGAGGCGGTACTGACTGACCCGAGGGATGTCATGAGAATCTGGTTTTTCTTCTAATCCACTTTTCACCATGTACCACCCCAAAAGACCCTAGAACCAACAAGAGAAAAAGCAAATAAAACAAAGTTGAAACTGTTTATTCAACTTTACTCTCTGAGCAAGTTACTTATCAATTGTCAAGCGCACCGCCTACCTGACCCCTCCTTTCCATACCCCTCCCATATCCTCATATCCCAGGAAATAGGACCTGCCCACATTTCCACATACAGCACCATAAATATTTAACTGCTGATTAGATTAACATTTTATTGAAGTGTAAGTCGAATACAGAAAAGTATACAAAAGCTTATCTGTGGGCAAAACCTTACATATACCTGACATGATTTAACATTATGTAAACCAGTGAAATAGGAGAATAAAACGAGAGCTGTTTCTATAAAAACTAGACTGAATGTTTTGGAAAGCTTGAGAAAGATTAAAAACAACTACTGTCAAGTTAGGTGGGAACAGAAAATTGTAAAAGCTTTGTGGGAGATAAAAATCTGTAAAGCTTTCCAGTCAGACTGCTTTGCAAGTACCTAAGTTCTCACTCCTCTTTAAGGAAAATGAAATACAATGATAGTTTATGGGGGTGCAAGAGATCAGATTGAACTCCAATCAGAGTACTAAAGAACAGGCCTTAGCTCTTCATTAAAAAATAAAGGTAATGAAAGGACATGTTTATAAGTTTAATGTATGTATTATTATTCTTTGATTTCCTGCTTTTACTGAATTTTTCAAGTAACTCAAACTAATGTCAGTTCCAATCATATAAGATATAGCCTATTCTCCCCCACCCTGCCAAGCCAACAGAATCATGTCAAAAGCTGGGATTCTCCCACTTCTAAATATATGCTCCTCAGGGAATCTTTTGGGCATTCTCTCCCCCTTTGTGACTACCCTGGATGTTCTAATTATCTTGATTTCATCTGCAGAGGACACTGGAAGATGGGAGTAGAAAGTATGATTTGCTGGCCCTCACTTTCTTTTTTCCATACCCTATTTGTCATCTTCAGTTTTATGCCACCCTGAGAGTCTGTCTTAGGGGAATTTTTTTTTTCTCTACTAAAACAAATTTTCATTTTGTTTCAACCCCTCCCCCCCGTTTCTATTAGACTTTTATTAATGTCTAATTCCTTATTATTTGTTTCTATTGCCTATATTACATCTCTTCCATCTCCCTCATTTCCTTCGATTTGGTTAATTTAATTTAGAATTTAAATGAACTCACTTCCTCCTGATCAAAGTTTACTTCTTTGGTGCTATGGTACTCTTCCTTAGGACCTGTATACTTTGCCCAAATACTCATGTGTCTTCGCTAATACTCCTTTTCTTGGCTCCTAGCCTCAGAGTCATTCAACATTCTTTTCCTTAAGGGGAATTCGACTTATGTAATTTTAACCACCATTGGTACATACTTGAGTATCTCTCAGCCACATCTATATTTTAAGATCCCTCATCCTACAAACTGTTTCTCTCTTTTGGAATTTTCCTATTTGCTTTTGTAGCCATTCTACCATAGGGATCCCAGTTCTCCATAGAGCAGGCGCGTTAGAAAAAGGGAAGAGATGATAACCCAGGAGAGCCACGGTGGGAAACTAATTCTTGTGACACAAAAATATATTTACTGAGTGCTTGTGATTCCAGGCACTAACCTAAGTACTTTATATGCATGATAACATTTAATATTCATGCAACCTAAACAGTAGGCACTATTATTATCTCTATTTATAGGTAAGGAAAGCATAGCCTACAGAGATTAGAACTTACCCTACTAAGTGGTAGAGCTGGGCCTTGAAGCCAGGCATGTGGGCACTAAAATTCACTCTCGCATACTCTATTATAAAATTACTTCCTTAAAAACAATGCCAACTAGGAAGCTCTTGGGAGCATGTGTCTCAAACTTCAATAAATCTCACCTGGAAGCACACCAGGCCACAGAGGGCAAGAACACGGCCTTTCATGCTGCGGCTGAGCCAGCCCTTTCTCCAGAAGTAGGCTGCAGGCAGGATGTATGCAAGGCCTACAAGGCGACCCCACATTCGGTGTGAGTACTCCATATACCAAATGAACTTGAATTCTGCCAATGTCATATCATGATTCAAGCTGGGTGAAACAGGAAGTCAAAAAATAAGACAGTGGAAACCTCCATCTCATTTTTATTTCCCAATGGAATGCAGGAACATTCTCAGTCTTGAAGCTTGATAGGTCTGCCCTCTTCCTCATCAATGAACTCAGGATCACTTTGGAATTAGAGGTTTAGAGTAGAAGCTCACTAAACATAACTGAGCCAAATATCAAGAAATAACGGAATCTAATTATTCTGACATGTTTAGATAAGCAAAAGATTGAATGGATCTCGTGGGATTTTTATCTAATTTTCTATAATATGTACTTACATTTTAAAATATATTTTTATTGATTATTTAGATGGGAAGGGAGAGAGGGAAAGAGAAAAATCAATAAGAGAGAAACATCAATGAGAGAGAAACATCGATTGGCTGCCTCTTCCATGCCTCACACTGGGAATCGAGCCAGAAACCTGAGCATATGCTCTGACCGGGAATTGAACTGGGACCTCCCAGTCCATGGGAGGACACTCAATCCACTGAGCCACACTGGCCAGGCTATAATACTTACATTTTAAATTCTGGAAATTGCTGGTATTTTTGGAATTCTGCTTCCCATTCATCTTGGCTTGTAGGTGGCTTCATCTCCTTTATTAAATGCCAGTCTACCATTGAGAGCCCAGATTCTGTCAACCTTAGGAAAGGAAAGAAATTTGAGTGAGTGTGTGTGCGCGCGCACAAGTGTGCAGGCGAACAATTCTGGATTACCCATAAATGGTTTACGGCAACAAGCTGATCTGAATATACCCTCTAAAGGTAAACACATCGTTTCATTTTTTCCTCTCTGACACATTCCTCTTCTCTTACTGCTTAGAATTTTGAAAGAAACAGTAAAATCAACCCTTAGACCAAAGAAATTTGCCCTAAATGCATAACCAACTTTATTTATACAAGGAAAAGAGATTTGACATAGGTATAAAACATTTTAGGTTGAGTGAGTTTGGAGATAGTAACAACCCAAATTTGTCAGTTCCCATAGCAGCCTATATGACACAGTATTCTGAAATAAGGGCACAGGGAATGTGGAGAGAATTTGAGAACACATACTTTATTAAAACCAAAATTATTTTTACCACAAGGAGTTAGGGTTCCTAAAGTAAAAGGCTGATTTTAGGCCTGAGGTAGGAAATGTACAGGAAGAACCTGGAACATCTTATCCAGAAATACTAGGATCCTGTCAAAATGACTCTGGAGCCCTGGCTGGTTTGGCTCAGCAATTAGAGCATCAGCCTGTGGACTGGAGAGTCCCGGGTTCGGTTCCCGCTAAGGGCACGTACCTTGGTTGCAGTTTGTCCTCGGCTCCAACAGGGTTGTGTGAGTGGCAACCACTCGATGTGTCTCTCTCACATCCATGTTTCTCTTTCTCTTCCTTCCTCTCTCCCTCTATCTGAAGATAAATGTAAAATATCCTCAGGTGAGGATAAAAAAAAAAAAAAAAAAAGACTCTGGAGTCAATTTGAGAGGTTCTCACTGACTAGAGATGGGACAATTTATTTTTTTTAAATCCTCACCCAAGGACACTTTTTTTTCATATTTGTCGTCAGGGGAGATAAAAAAAGAGAGAGAGAAATATCGATGCAAGAGAGACACATCGATTGGTTGCCTCCCACATAACCCTGACCAGGGCCAGGGACTAAACCACAACCAAGATAGTGCCCTTGACCGGAATCGAACCCGAGACTCTTTGGTCCACAGGCCGACATTCTACCACTGAGCCAAACCGGCCAGGGCAAAGATGGGACAATTTGAGCAAACCATCATCAGTGCAGTGGATTGAACCATACCAAGTATGAGCTCATAATGATACTTAAAAATTCACTTTATTGGCTACCTTTGGAGGGTACTTGGGAACCAATTTATTTATTTTGAAAACTGGTAAATAACGGGAAAGAATCAAGTATGTATCCTGCCTTTCCTATATACCCTGTACCTTACAATAACCCAATTGTTGATAAGAGAAAGTTTCTCTTTAGAGCTGAGCTACTAGAATATTACAATTTTGCAACTCTAATGAAATAACGGATCTAGGCAATAATCATCAATGGTGGTTGACATCTCTAATAGACAACAGATATTTATAAATGTTATAATCACCTATGAAGTATTTGCCCCCTGCCCCAACCTAAATCTGATCAAGCAATAACCCGTTTACAGGAAATACAGGGGACAATGGGGCTTGTTAACCACAATATGCAATCAGGAAAAGCCAGACTGGGAAACTCTATAGGACACATGATTTGGATTTCTTCAACAAAAAACTTCAGAGATGGGGCTTGGGGGAGGATTAAAGAGACCTAAGAGGCATATGAACTAACTATAAGGTATGGAACTTATCTGGGTTTAATTCAAACTAACTGTACAAAACATTCTGAAACAAATTTGAACTCTGATTATGGGGGAAATATACACAATGTACAGCTAACAGTTAAGATCTAAACCAGTTCTTTGTGAAGTACTCCTATAAAAAAAAATCTAAACTGTTCTATGTCAGGGCAAACTATCAGACATATTCCCTCTTTAGGCCTCAGTTTCTGCATTTGTAAAATGAAGGATCTAGACATGATTCCTAGGATCCCTCCCCCTTGGTCAGCTGTGCCTCCACTGATGACCCAAACAGCTGACACACTATTACTCACGAGCAAATTACTCACCTCGTTACTCCACCAAGAATAACTGCTCCAGCCACTGTTCCACTGCAGACCAAGAGCCATCGGCCCACCACCCGCTCAGCAGCCTGTGAGGGAAGGGATACTGTACCCCTTCCAGATTGTAAAGCTACTTCAGAGATTGTGCTGTATTGCCCTGGCCTCAAGAGGCTCCTGATTCCACAGCTGCAGCCACACTAAGAATCAAGACAGATAAATTACAACTGGAGAAAGAAGGAAAGACTTCATTCCACTGCTACTCACACTCAATCCCACTCTGGAGGTGAGTACTCCGTATGGCAACATCTCTTCTGCTACTTCCCGGGTAAATCATCTCTTTACTGGATCTCTGCATCCACCTTCCAAATGGTTTTCCTGCCTCTAGTCTTGGCCTCATTCCAATCCATCCCCATAATACATGAACCTTCTAGTCTCTGCATACTTCCCCAGACTTCAGTCTACACCTAGACATGGGTTACTTTCTTTCTTCTGTGGGTCTTTAAATAAGATTTCTCTCTGATTGGGACACTATTTGTCCCCTGATTGAAAATACAGACCTACCCCGTTTTATTGCACTTCAATTATTGCGCCTTGCAGATATTGCATGTTTAAAAAGAAAATTGAACGTTTGTGGCAACCCTGCCTTGAGCAAATTGAAAACCTCCTGCAAAGTATTCACCATTCTGGATGCCATTTAGAACATTCGTGATTCATGGGAAAAGGTGAAAATATCTACATTAACAGGAGTTTGGAAGAAATTGACTCCAACCCTCATGGATGAGACCGAGGGACTCAAGCCTTCAGTGGAAGAAATAACTACAGATGAAGTAGAAATAGCAAGAAAACTGGAATTAGAATTTGAGCCTGAAGATGTGACTAAACTGCTATAACCTCATGATAAGACTTTAACACATGAGGAACTGCTTCTTATGGATGAGTAAAGAAAGTGGTTTCTTGAGATGGAATCTACTCCTGGTGAAGATGCTGTGAAGATTGTTGAAATGACAACAAAGGATTTAGAATATTACGTAAACTTGGTGCTAAAGCGGTGGCAGGGTTTGAGTGGATTGGCTCCAATTTGGAAAGAAGTTCCACTGTGAGTAAAATGCTATCAAACAGCATCTCGTGCTACGGAGAAATAGTTCTCATAAAAGTAAGTCAATCAGTGCAGCAAACTTCGCTGTTATTTTAAATAATTGCTACAGCCACCCAACCTTCACCCTGATCAGTCAGCAGCCATCAATAAATATCAAGGCAAGACCCTCCACCAGCGAAAAGATTATGACTCACTGAAGGCTCAGATGATGGTCACCAGTTCTCAGCAGTAAGGCATGTTTAAATTAAAGTATGTACATTGTTATTTTTTTTAGAGATAATGCTATTGCACACTTAATAGACTACATATAATGTAAATATAACTTTTATATGCACTGGGAAACAAAAAAATTCATGTAACTCGCTTATGCGATATTCACTTTACTGCAGTGGTCCAGAACTGAACCTGCAATATCTCCGAGGTATGCCTGCAATACCTACTGCAGACCTCAGCTTAGATGTCACCTTCCCTGGGAAGTGTTCCCAGATTATTCTAGGTCTGCAACAGGTTACTCTCAGTGCACTTTACCTCAACACACTTCAGGTTCCTCTCTATTTCCCACTAAACTATGAGCTGTAGGACAACAGTGTCTGGTCCCTTCCCTCTTGCTTCCTTTGTTTCAAACACAGTTCCCCTACCTAACAAGACCTTAATAAAGATTTACTAAATGGATTATAAATAAATAAACTGTGGCTTCCTCCAGGGCAGTAGCCTTTTAGTATTTATCTTTTGCTTCCCATTTCCTAACACAGAATAGTCACTCAGTACTGTAATTATTAGTTGAGGGGATACACGCCTTCTTCTGACTCTATCCCTGGGAGTCAAAAGACCATATCTGGTTTCCTGCTTCTAATTAAGTAACTTTAGACAACTTAAATTAAGCCTCAATTTCCTTCTTTGTAGAAGGGAGTTATAATCCCTACCCCTTTTTGGCAAAAGTCAAATATTTCGGTAAAATTTACTGAGCTTTTACTTTGTGCTAAGCGCTTGATGTATATTAAATTTAATCCTTCCAGCAATCTTATGAGCTAAGTACTGTTATCCCCATTTTTACAGATGGGTAAATTGAGGCACGGAATGGTTACCTAATTTGGCTAATACAACAACTAGTAAATGGTAGGTCCAGCTCAGAAACGCAGGGGCCCTGGAAGCAAGAAAATACGTTTTGAATTCTAAGGATCTACGGATACGTGACAGGGACGATCCGTGATCTTTCTCCAGGCTCTTTCCCCCCACGCCGCTTCCGCGACTCAGGAGTCCGCTGCGGTGCGGTACCTGCGTTCTAGGCGCTGCCCTGGGAACCAGGAGTCGGAGACACGGGCTCCCCATCAAGGCCTTCAAGGGCGGAAAGAGTAACCGCTGCATACTGAGGACAGTGCAAGGCCGCCACCTCCACACCCCAGCACCCTGCAGGCTCCCCTTTCGGCTTCAGAAAGGCGAGGCACTGCCCAGTCGCACACAGCGGCTCCTCCTCCTGAGAAGGCGGGGTGAGCAGTGACTGCGCCTGCGCTAGCCATTCGGCTTCGCGCGGGGGCTGCTGGGGCGTGGACGTCGGGGACGCGCCGGGGCGCGCGCAGCGGGGAGAACGAGCCTCTCTGATCGCGCGCGCGCAAACCAGGACGCTGAGTGGAAACGGAAGATTTGCGAGGGAGGAACGCGTGGAGGATGAAGAGGCAGGGGTCCTCCTCCGAGCGGAAACGGGCGCGGATACCGTCCGGGAAGGCCGGTGCGGAAGGGGCGGGGCGGGGCCGGTCGCCCACCTCGCTCTCGGGGCGGGCCGGCGGGGTTCTAACCGGGGGATTCATCGCGATTTCCCTCGGGGCCCCCAGCGGGACACGTTCTGCCATTCCGGCTTTAAACACGTGGAAACGGGTGCCTGAAAGGGGGGGGGAGGGTGTAGCGAGAGTGCCCCTGCCCCGGAGCCAGATGTGCGGTTCGAATCCCGGCGCCACCACGTGCCGGCGTGTTGAAGTTGGTTAACTTCGAGCCTCACGTTGCCCGTCGCCACACGAGGATCCCTGCACCCCCCCTTCCGGCCACGCAGTGATAGTTAAATGTCCAGTGCTGAGCGCAGCGCCTAACCTGTGGTGACCGCTCAATAACCTGCAGCTGCTACCGCGGGAGTGGGGATTGTTTCCAAAGCCACACAGCTACCGGGGCGAGCATGTGGCTGCCCCAAGCCCCGAGCTCGTCGTGTCGCGCCAGGGTAGGATGGCATGGCACGTGCTGGGGATTCGGCAGATCCCTCCTCGGGGAACTCTTGATTCCCCCAAGCCAGCGGTCCTCAAAGTTCTTGATTTCAGGCTCCTTTTACTCTCCTAAAAATCATTGAGAACGTCAAAGACCTTTTTAAAAAAAAAATGCATATAAGTTAAATCTGTTGCTATTGACTGTATTCGAAATTATAACAAAATTTTAAATATTAACTAGAAAATAACCATAATAAACCCATTACATGTTAACAAATAACAAAATAACATTTTTTTTTCTGAAAAAGAACTATTTTCCTCAAACAAAATAGAATAGCGCCAGTGTTTTGTATTTTCGCAGATTTCTTTACTCTCCAGCTTAATGGAATTCTCATACCTCTATTCTTATACCTACTTCTACATTCAATCTACATGTCAGGTAGCTTCCCAAAAACTCCACTTGTGAAATAATGAGAGTGGAAAATGGCAAATAAAATTTTAATAGCATTATGAAAATTTTCACTGCACAGATTCTGAAAGGATCTTCTAAGATTCTAAGATCCCTAAGGTTCCCAGAGCTAAATGACCTACTACACTTTGAGAACCTTGCTCCAAACAAATATCTTTTTCTTTGATCCTTACAAATAACTTTGTTTCTTAGGACAACTACCTTACTCTGCCTTCTGTCAAAGCCTCTTGTGTGTGTTACCCTACCCTCTCCTAGCAAAGGCCCTTTCTTTCTTTTTTTTTTTTTTTTTTTTTTTTTATCCTCACCCGAGGATGTTTTTCCATTTTTTGTATAGATAGAATGGGAGGGAGAGAGAGGAAGGGAGAGAGAGTGAGAAACATCGACGTGAAGGGACACATTGAGTGGCTGCCACCCGCACGACCAACCAGGGCCGGGGACAAACTGCAACCGAAGTACGTGCCCTTAGCGGGAACCGAACCCGGGTCTCTCCGGACCACAGGCCGACGCTCTAACCGCTGAGCCAAACTGGCCAGGGCTCTTTTTTTTTTTTTTTTTTTTTAATCTTTATTGTTGAATGTATTACAGATGTTCCTCATTTTTCCTCCATTGACCCCCTCCTCCCCACTCTCGCCCCCCTCCCACCTTTTCCCACACTATTGTTCTGTATCCATAAGTTCTTTGGTTTATTTCTTCCCACCCCCGAGCCCTTTCCCTCCCACCCCCGAGCCCTTTCCCTCAGGTTTGTCAGTCTAGCAACCAGTTTGTACTTCTTAATCCCTTCACCTTTTTCACCCATTCCCCCAAACGCCCTCCCATCTGGCAACCAACAAAATGTTTTCTGTATCTATGAGAATGTTTGTGTTCTACCTGTTCATTTTGTTTGTAGATTCCATTGTCAATAGATATGTATTCATTGCCATTTTGTTTGTTCATATATTTTATCTTTTTCTTCAAAAAGACCCTTCAACATTTCATATAACGGTTTGGTGGTGATGAACTCCTTTAGCTTTTTCTTGACTAGGAAACTCTTTATATGACCATTGACTCTAAATGACAGCTTTGCAGGATAGAGTAATCTTGGTTGTAGGTTCTTGCTTTTCAGCACTTTGAATATTTCTTGCCACTCCCTCTGGCCTGCAAAGTTTCTTTTGAGAAATCAGCTGACTGTCTTATGGGAACTCGCTTGTAGGTAACTAACTGCTTTTCTCTTGCTGCTTTTAAAATTCTCTTTGTCTTGAACCCTTTGCATTTTGATGATGATGTGTCTTGGTGTGGGCCTCTTGGGGTTCATCTTGTTTGGGACTCTGTGCTTCCTGGACTTGTATGTCTGTTTCCTTCACCAAGTTAGGAAAGTTTTCTGCCATTATTGTTTCAAACAGGTTTTCAATTTCTTGTTCTCTCTCTTCTCCTGGCACCCTCAAGATGCAAATGCTGGCATGCTTGAAGTTGTCCCAGAGGCTCCTTACACTATCCTCATTTTTTTGGATTCTTTTTTCTTTTTGCTGTTCTGATTGCGTGTTTTTTGTTTCCTTATATTCCAAATCGATAGTTTGCTTCTTGGATTTACGTACTCTACTATTGAATCTGTGTAAATTACTCTTTATTTCAGTTAATGCCTCCTTCATTTCTGACTGTACATCCATAATTTCTGACTGGTCCTTTTTTATGCTCTTGAGGCCCTCACTAAGTTCATTGAGCATCCTTATAAGCAGTATTTTGAACTCAGCACCTGTTAGGTTGCTTATCTCCATTTCGCTTAGTTCTTTTCTTGGGGTTTTGTTCTGTTCTTTCATTTGGGACCTGTTTCTTTGTCTCCTCATTTTGGCTGCCTCTCTGTGTTGGTTTCTGTGTATTGCTTAACGAGAGGTATGGGGGTATCTTAGACCAGATGCTGCTTGTTTGAAAGAATTTAGGAAAACCTGAAGCAGGATCCAAGACAGGCCAATCCTATGGTTAAGCAACTGCAACAGCTTGGGTGGGCCTGAAAGGTGAGGGGGGCGGGGCCTCAGGGAATCACCAGGGCGGGGCTACCAGTGTGAGCCAGGTTGCTGGAGTCCCAGATATGGGGACTGTCTGCCGCCCCAGGGAAGGGCTCACCAAAGGAACAAAGGCCTCTGACAGCACGCCTGTCCCGGAGAAAGCCCCCTCTCCAGCCCTCGCTCCAATGCCAAACAGCTCAGTTCTTCCCTGTATGTCTCTGGTGCCCCTCGAGCTGCCTCCCCTCCAAGCTTAGAGGGAGTGAGTCCAATAAGTCCGTGCGCGCGCCCTTTAAGAGGAGCTGCCTGGGGCTCCAGCCGCCTCAGCCTCCCTGAGCCTCAGTTCCCGCTGGTTTTTCCAGCCAGAAGTGATGGGTACTTCTCTTTTTGGCACTGGAACCCTGAGCAGGGAGCCTGGTGTGGGACAGTGACCCCTCAGTCCTCAGGGAGGACCTTCCCAGCCGAGGTATCCTGATTTTTATCCACCATGCGTGGGTGTGGGACCAGCCCATCTGCCTCCGCTCCTCCTACCAGTCTCAATGTGGCTGCTTCTTTAATTCCTTAGTTGTAGGACTTCCATTCAACTTGATTTCAGGCGGCTTTGAATGATGGTTGTTCTGTAGTTTAGTTGTAATTTTGATGTGGTTGTGGGAGGACGCGATACCGCCTTTACCTATGCCGCCATCTTGACCAATTATTCAGCCTTTAGTAAATCTTTGCCTGACTATTGTGTACTATGGCAGACACTGTGCTTGCTGTGGGTGATGATGAAGATTTCTCTCATAAAGACTTTACTTAGGAATTTTAGATCAAGTGGTAGTTATCAACACTTATCTACATAAATAATAATAGAAAAATAATTAGTGTTTTGAAGAGCTACAATTAATGTTTTAAAGAACATATAACTTATAAAGAGTTATATATGAGTTCAAAAAAGGGAGACAGTTTTCTGCTTTGGGAGAGAGGAAGTATCATGGAAATGTGGTTTGACATGATCTTAGAAGAGTGGCAGTCAAAGATGGAGCTGGAAGGTCTTTGTGGATTGAGGAGATGGTATAGGGAAGAGCAGGGATGAGGATTAGGGATAACTGGAAGCATATAGAGAAAATACCGTGTAGAAGATAATGTGTAGCCCTGGCCAGTTTGGCTCAGCGGTTAGAGCGTCGGCCTGCGGTCCACAGAGTCCCGGGTTTGGTTCCCGCTAAGGGCACGTACCTCAGTTGCAGTTTTTCCCTGGCCCTGGTTGGGTCGTGTGGGTAGCAACCACTTGATATGTTCCTTTCACATAGATGTTTCTCTCTCTCTCTCTTTTTATTTCTCTCTCTCTCTCTCTTCCTCTCTCTCCCTCCCACTTTATCTGAACAAAAAGTGGAAAAATGTCCTTGGATGAGAATGAAAAAAAAAATATATAGTTTAGTTGGTAGTATCCACTTTACATTAATTATCTCTATTCTCACTACTCTAAGGTAGGTATTAAAACCTGCACTATTTTATATAAAACAGGCTAAGTGATTTGTGTAGAATTATAGAAGCATGTGGTGCAACCAGGATTTGAAGTCCATCCCAGCCCTTAAACACATATCCCTTGTAAAGAAGTTTAAACATATCCTGTACACATTCATTGAGAAGCATTTAAAGAATCGTGACCTGGCCCTGGCCGGTTTGGCTCAGCGGTTAGAGCATCGGCGGTCTGGAGAGACCCGGGTTCGGTTCCCGCTAAGGGCACGTACCTCGGTTGCAGTTTGTCCCCGGCCCTGGTTGGTCGTGCGGGTGGCAGCCACTCGATGTGTCCCTTCACGTCGATGTTTCTCTCTCTCTCTCTCTCTCTCCCTCCCACTCTATCTGTACAAAAAGAAAATGGAAAAATGTCCTCGGGTGACGAAAAAAAAAAAAAAAAAAGAATCGTGACCTGGCCCTGGCCGGTTTGGCTCAGCGGTTAGAGCATCGGCCTGCGGTTCAGAGAGTCCTGGGTTCAGTTCCTGCTAAGGGCACGTACCTCGATTGCAGTTTTTCCCTGGCCCTGGTTGGGTCGTGTGGGTGGCAGCCACTTGATGTATCCCTTTCATGTCTCTCTCTCTCTCTTTCCCTCCCTCCCTCCCTCTCTCCCTCCCTCCCTCCCTCCCACTCTCCCTCCCTCCCTCCCTCCCACTCTCCCTCCCTCCCTCCCTCCCACTCTATCTGAACAAAAAATGTCCTCGGGTGAGGATAAAAAAAAAAAAAGAATCGTGACCTGGAATGTGATGATGAGGTCTTGTTTTAGCAAGATTAATTTAGCATTTAGTATATATTTTTCTCAGTGTAATTTCTTTTTCAATTTTAATTTTTGATGAGAGTCCAGATTTTTTTTTTTTTTTATCCTCACCCGAGGACATTTTTCGATATTTTGTTCAGATAGAGTGGGAGGGAGAGAGAGAGAAACATCGACGTGAAAGGGACACATCGAGTGGTTGCCTCCCGCACAACCCAACCAGGGCCAGGGACAAACTGCAACTGAGGTACGTGCCCTTAGCGGGAACCAACCCAGGTCTCTCCAGACTGCAGGCCAATGCTCTAACCGCTGAGCCAAACCAGCCAGGGTGAGAGTCCAGATTTTTTTTAAAAAATGATTTTATTTATTGTTTTAGAGAGGAGGGGAGAGGGACAGAGGAGGGATAGAAACATCTATGAGAGATGCATCAACATAGATCAGCGGCCTCCTGCACACCCCCTACTGGGAATTGTGCCTGCAACCCAGGCATGAGCCCTGACGGAATTGAACCAGTGACCTCTTGGTGCGTAGGTCGATGCTCAATCACTGAGCTACACCAGCCAGGCTCAGTGTAATTTCTTACACATATCTTAGTGTTCTTATTTCATAGTCCAGAGACATCCATTTTATAATTAGCATGGTATTTTATTGCATTCATGAGCCCTAGTGTACTTATCTACTTTCCTATTATTGGACATTTGGATTTTGGCATCAATATATAAAATGTTAGTGGTAGATTGGTCTGGATGAATAGTCCCATCATGGTATTGCATTATTTTTCATGTGTTTTAGGGACAGCAAATGGATTTCTCATGGAAGTATGTGTTGATTCAGTGGAGTCGGCTATAAATGCAGAAAGAGGAGGTAAAAGAAATTAAAGAATGAATGACAGTTTATAGTCCTTTTAAGATTCTGAAAATGAATCCTGTGAACTGACTTAGGGAGCCTTTGTGATTTGAAAGGATCCTTGTAATCTTTTTGAAAACAACCAACCTGAAACTCATGGACGCAGACAACAGTGTGGAGGTTACCAGAAGAAAGGGGGTGATGGAGTGGTGGGAGCTAGAGGGGGCCTAATATATGGTGACGGAAGATGGTTTGTCTTTGGGTGGTGGGCACACAGTGAAATATACAGATTTCCTATAATAGAGATGTTCACTTAAAACCTATATGATCCTATTAACCAGTGTCACCCCAGTAAGTTTAATAATAATAAAATTATAAAAGACATCTCAGGAAGAAAAAAAAGAAAACAACCAACCAACTAGAAAACCTACTGGAAAATTCTGATCTTCTAGTCTTAACTCCCCTAGTAGGTCACATTTTGAATCAGTGTCTACAGTAGTGCTTACCAACTTCATTTTTTTAATTGAACTTAGAAAAGATTTAATTTTTTCAGACTATGATTTAAAGATGAGTTTTAAAGATATGTTGCCATTTTCATTATTGGGACTTACATCTTTTTTTTTAAAACATTATTTTTACTCAAGATTTCTTTTGCATGGTGAAACCTGCTTTAATAGGAAGCTTAGAAATTCCCATCATCTCAGGATGAAACCAATTTTTAAACTTTTTATTAGAGAAAGTTTCAAACATATACAAAAATAGAGAGACTACTATAATGAATCCCCATGTACCCATTACTTAGCTTCACCCAGTTTTAGTACATGGCCAACCTTGCATCTATATTGGAGAAGGGGATCAGAAAACTTTTTATAAAGAACAACATAGTATATATTTTCAGCTTTGCTGGCCACGTGTGGTCTTTGTTGCATCTTTCTTTTTTTAAACAATTCTTTGAAAATGTAAAAACCATTCTTAATTTGCCAGTAAAAAACAATGAAGTACGTGCTACAACATAGATGAATCTTGAAAGATTATTCTAAGTGGGAAAAAACAGTACAAAAAAAAAAAACCCACCCATGTATTATTCCATTTATATGAAATGTCCAGAATAGTCATATTTATGGAGATAGGAAGTAGATTAGTGGTTGCCTAAGGCTGAGGAATTGGGGAGAGGGCAAAGTGACTGCTAAAGGGTATGAGGCTTTTTGGGGGGGGTGATGAAAATGTTCTAAAATTGATTATGGCAGTGGTTGCAAAACTTTGTGAGTATGCTAAAAACCATTGAATTATACACTTTAAATGGGTGCATTTGTATAGTATGTAAATTTTATGTCAATAAAGATATTATTTTTGAAAAACAGAAACTGTTTTAAATTTGTAGGCCATAACAAAAATAATTGTGGGCATTTGGCCTGTGGGCCATAGTTTGCTGATCCCTGATCTATATAACTACCTTCCCTCCTCCACCCCCCAGATTATTTTGAAGCAAATACCGGACATTATGTCATTTCATCCTCACATATTCTATTTAGTATGTGTCTCTAAAAGAACTATTTAAAAACCCATAATATCACAATGGCCCATCTAGAAACTTCTTTATGCTAAGTCACTTCCCTGTACATGGAGAGGCAGTGCTAATACAAAATTTTAAGAGATCTACCTTAACTTGAATTAACTCTTTTTTTTTTAATCCTCACCAGAGGACATTCTTTGCATTCATTTTCAGACAGAGCAGGAGGGAGAGAGAGTAACATCGACGTGAGAGAGACACATCAAATGGGCCACCCACATGACCCCAATTAGGGCCGGGGACAAACTGCAACCCACGCAAGTGCCCTTAGCGGGAACCAAACCCGGGTTTCTCTGGACCGTGGGCCAACACTCTAACCTCTTAGCCAAACCAGCCAGGGTGAATTAACTCTTAAATTTGACCACTAGTAACATAATGTGTGTTGGAGAATATAGTTGCGATTAAAAATAGACTTTTACTCTAGTCTTATAATTTGATTTCTCTCAGTTTCTAACACTCTTTGGAAAAATATTAAGTTTGCTGTTTAATAAGAGTTTATTTTGGGCAGTAATTTTTGAGCAATTTTTTACAAATATTTTCTTAATTAAAAATAATTTTTGTACTGAGCAATGCTTTTTGTTTTTAATCACAGGTGCTGGTCGGATTGAATTGTGTTCTGGCTTATCGGAAGGAGGAACCACACCTAGCATGGGTAAGTGTCCATTGTTTTGATTGCCTGGAGACAGTTGTTAATCTGTGTCATTGGAATATTTACTGATATTACTAAAATGTTAACTATGCTGTGGATGTTGTATCAGTTAGAAATGCTTATGGTTGTAAATAAACTTGTCTATCCAAGATGTGATCAAATAGATTTTTTTCCTTATACATCAAAAAGTTGAGAGATACGTAGTTTCTCTTAATATTCGTTCAGTTGCTGTGCAGTAATATCAAGGACCAGGGTTTTTTATTTTTCCATTTTGCTATCCTCAGTTTATTGATTTTGTCATCTTTTCTACCTTTCTGGTCTTTGTGTTTTTGTCATACATTTTACTTCTACGTATGTTAAAAACTCTATACTACATTGTTGTTATTTCTACTGAGGTATTTCATTTGCACACATGTATTACATCCCTAGAAAAAGAATCCCTGGATTTTCCCTCCCGTGTGTTTTGGTCTTGCTTCTTCATGGTCCATGATGCCCACTGACATTGTCAGCACAGTGAAACCAAACCAATGTGTTGGGAGCAGGTTAGTTTGCCATTTTCTAGATCTTTGAGTTACACTGATCACTCCACATTTGTTTAATCTGCCCGTAAGGTTCACAAGTTTTCCACAGCTGTGTGATTTTTGTTAAAAGAGTCTATTATCGCCCTAGCCGGTTTTGCTCAGTGGTTAGAGCGTCGGCCTGCGGTCCGGAGAGACCTGGGTTCAGTTCCCACTAAGGGCATGTACCTTGCTTACAGTTTGTCCCTGGCCCTATTTGGGTTGTGCAGGTGGCAGCCACTCGATGTGTCCCTTTCACATTGATGTTTCTCTCTCTCCCCCTCCCTCCCACACTATCTGAACAAAAAATGGAAAAATGTCCTTGGGTGAGGATAAAAAAAATTTAAATAAAAGAGTCTGTTAACTTTTAAAGAGATTAAAATAATAAGGGAGCAATCACATATATACCCATGAGTAGTTACCATTTCTGCTGCTTTTAATTCCTTTGCGTAGATTTATATTTCCATCTGGTTACATTTTCCTGTCTAAAGTAATTCTCTTATCATTTTTTGTAGAAATACTGTTCTGGTGATGACTTCTTTCAACTTTTGTATGTCTGAAAACATCTTTTCCTATTTTTGAAAGATATTTTTGCTGAGTGTGGAATTCTATGTTGATAGTATTTTTTCTTTCAGTACTTTAAAGATGTATCTTCACTCTATTGCTTTTATTTTTTCTGACAAGAAATCTGCATTATCCATACCTTTTTTTTTTTTTCAGTGTAATGTGTTTATTTGGTTGCTTTTAAGTTTTTTTTTTTAATTCTTGACTTGACCAATTTGATTATAATGTACATGAGTGTAGTTTCCTCATGTTTTTTAGACTTGGGCATTTATACTTTTTTATCACATTTGGAAAATTTTCATCATTCAGTATCCTTAAATTATACTTAAAATTGAATATTTTCAATTCAGTATTTGATTATATTTGTTCTACAATTTGACAGAAATTGTAGACTTACTCTTTTTTAAATATGTTTTTATTGATTTTTTAGAGAGAGAGGAAGAGAGAGAGAGAGAGAGAAACATTGATGAGAGAGACTTCAACATCAGTCAGCTGCCTCCTGCATGCCCCCTACTGGGGATTGAGCCCACAACCCCGGGCATGTGCCCTCATGGGAATCGAACCAGAACCTATCAGTCCATGGAACAATGCTCAATCCACTGAACCACATTGGCTAGTCTGAACTACTCTTTTTTAAGTCTCCTTTTTCTCTGTGTTTCATTTTGCATAGATCCTCTTGCTTTGTTTTCAAGTTTACTAATCTTTTCTCTGCAATGTCTGTTTGCTGTTAATCCTGCCTAGTGTGTTGTTTTTCATCTCACACATTATAATTTTCTTTTTCTTTTTTTTCCAAATCTTTATTGTTGGATGTAAAATGTATTACAGATGTTCCACATTTTTCCCCCATTGACCCCCTCCTCCTCATTCCTGCCCCCCTCCCACCTTTTCCCACACTATTGTCTGTGTCCATTGGTTATGCATATAAGTTCTTTGGTTTATTTCTCCCTCCCCCAACCCCTTTCCCTTTGAGGTTTGTCAGTCTAGCAGTGAATTTGTGCTTCTTAATCCCTTCACCTTTTTCACCCATTCCCCAAATCCCCCTCCCAACTGGCAACCAACAAAATGTTCTCTGTATCTATGAGAATGTTTCTGTTCTACCTGTTCATTTTGTTTGTAGATTCCATTGTTGATAGATATGTATTCATTGCCATTTTGTTTGTTCATACATTTTATCTTTTTCTTCAAAAAGACCCTTCATCATTTCATATAATAATGGTTTGGTAGTGATAAACTCCTTTAACTTTTTCTTGTCTGGGAAAGTTTTTATATGTCCATCGATTCTAAATGACAGCTTTGCAGGATAGAGTAATTTTGGTTGTAGGTTCTTGGTTTTCATCACTCTGAATATTTCTTGCCATTCCCTTCTGGCCTGCAAAGTTTCTTTTGAGAAATCAGCTGACAGCCTAATGGGAACTCCCTTGTAGGTAACTAGCTGCCTTTCTCCTGCTGCTTTTAAGATTCTCTCTTTGGCCCTGGCCAGTTTGGCTCAGCGGTTACAGCGTCGGCCTGCGGTCTGGAGAGACCCGGGTTCGGTTCCCGCTAAGGGCATGTACTTCGGTTGCAGTTTGTCCCCGGCCCTGGTTGGTCGTGCGGGTGGCAGCCACTCGATGTGTTCCTTTCACATTGATGTTTCTCTCTCTCTCTGTTCCCCTCTCTCCCTCCCACTCTACCTAAACAAAAAATGGAAAAATGTCCTCGGATGAGGATAAAAAAAATCAATAAAAAAGATTCTCTCTTTGTCTTGAACCTTTTGCATTTTGATGATGATGTGTCTTGGTATGGGCCTCTTGGGGTTCATCTTGTTTGGGACTCTCTGTGCTTCCTGGACTCATATGTCTGTTTCCTTCACCAAGTTAGGAAAGTTTTCTGCCATTATTGTTTCAAACAGGTTTTCAATTTCTTGTTCTCTCTCTTCTCCTTCTGGCACCCTCAAGATGCAAATGTTGGCACGCTTGAAGTTGTCCCAGAGGCTCCTTACACTATCCTCATTTTTTTGGATTCTTTTTTCTTTTTGCTGTTCTGATTGGGCATTTTTTGCTTCCTTATATTCCAGATCGATGGTTTGCTCCTTGGATTTACGTTCTTTATTATTGAAGTTGTGTAAATTATTCTTTATTTCAGTTAATGCCTCCTTCAATTCTAACTGTGCATCCATGATTTCTGACTGGTCCTTTTTTATGCTCTTGAGGCCCTCCCTAAGTTCACTGAGGTTCTCACTAAGTTCATTGAGCATCCTTATAAGCAGTATTTTGAACTCAGCATCTGTTAGGTTGCTTATCTCCATTTCACTTAGTTCTTTTATTGGGGTTTTGTTCTGTTCTTTCATTTGGGACCTGTTTCTTTGTCTCCTCATTTTGGCTGCCTCCCTGTGTTGGTTTCTGTGTATTACTTAATGAGAGGTATGGGGCTCGCTGAGACCAGATGCTGCTCGTTTGAAAGAATTTAGGAAAAACCTGAAGCAGGATCCAAGACTGGCCAATCCTATGGTTAAGCAACTGCAACAGCTTGGGTGGGCCTGAAAGTTGGGTGGGGCGGGGCCTCAGGGAGTCAGCAGGGCGGGGCTACCAGTGTGAGCCAGGTTGCTGGAGTTCCAGATATGGTGACTCTCTGCCGCCCCCGGAAGGGCTCACCAAAGGAACAAAGGCCTCTTACAGCACATTTATCCAGAGAAAACCCCCTCTCCAGCCCTTGCTCCAGTGCCAAACAGCGCAGTTCTTCCCTGTGTGTCTCTGGTGCCCCTCGAGCTGCCTCCCCTCCAAGCTTAGCGGAAGAGAGTCCGATAAGTCCGTGCGCAGGCCCTTTAGGGAGCTGCCTGGGGCTCCAGCCGCTTCAGCTTCCCTGAGGCTCAGTTCCCGCTGGTTTTTCCAGCCAGAAGTGATGGGCTTCTCTTCCTGGCACTGGAACCCTGAGCGGGGCACCTGGTGTGGGACGGGGACCCCTCAGTCCTCAGGAAGGACCTTCCTAGCCGTGGGAGCCTCCTGATTTTTATCCGCCACACGTGGGTGTGGGACCAGCCCGTCACGCCACCGCCCCTCCTACCAGTCTGGATGTGGCTGCTGCTTTAATTCCTAGTTGTAGGACTTCCATTCAGCTTGATTTCAGGCGGTTTTGAATGATGGTTGTTCTGAAGTTTATTTGTAACTTTGATGTGGTTGTGGGAGGACGCGATACCGCCTTTACCTACGCCGCCATCTTGACCGGAAGTCCCACACATTATAATTTTTATCTCTAGAAGTTTGAGTCTGTAGTATCTCCCATGTAGCTTTTTAACTTTTTTGAACTTAAGGAATAAAGTTATAATAGCTATTTTTAATGACTTAGCTGTTAAGTCTAACATCTGTATCAGTTCTAGGTTCATTTTGTCTGGTCCGCAGGCCGATGCTCTAACCGCTGAGCAAAACCGGCCAGGACTAGGTTCATTTTGTTTGATTGGTTTATCGCTTCATGATGGGTCTTGTTTTCCTGCCTTATAATTTTTTATTGAATGGAAGACATATGTTACTTTTAGGTTGACGATAGTATCATTTAGTATAAAAGGTTTATATGTGCAATAGCCCTTTGAAATCTTCTCACTAAAGGAGGGCATTCCCTAGCCATCCTATAAAATCTCTAGAACATATCTGCAAATTTAACTGTAATCTGTTTTTTTGCATCAGCGATAATGATTCATTGCTTGCTGTTGGGCATAGTGCTACCCCGTGCAGAATTGGGGTTCTTTTAGCAAGGAAAAAGATTGAATTCATATTGGGTAAACAAGAATGGTACTTGCCACAGATTGTAAACTATTGAGGAGTTCTGAGCTAGCCATGAATTGTGTCATATTTAGGAACATATTGTGTCATAGATCGCTGTATAAAATCACAAATAAGTAGAACTTTGCTCCCTTTTACATATCTGTTTCAAAAAAGGGCTTTGTTAAATGAGTTTGTCCAAATGACTTTGTCCATTAAAAGATTATAAACTTGCCCTGGCCGGTTGGCTCAGCAGTTGGAGCATCGGCCTGTGGACCAGAGAGTCCAGGGTTCGGTTCCCGCTAGGGGCACGTACCAAGAAAAAAAAAAAGTCAATAAAAGATTATAAACTTTAGCCCTGGCCGTTATGGCTCAGCAGTTAGAGCATTGGCCTCCGGACCAGAGAGTCCCAGGTTCGGTTCCGGCTAAGGGCACGTACCTCAGTTGCAGTTTGACCCCAGCCCTGGTTGGGTTTGTGTGGGTGGCAACTAGTTGATGTGTCTCTCTCTTCCTCCCTCTCTCCCTCTCACTCTATCTGAAGATAAATGCAAAAATGTCCTCGGGTGAGGATGAAAAAAAAAAGATTATAAACCTTAGCACTGTGTAACCATCTCTATAGTAAGTTTTAAATAGAGCTATAATGAATTAGAAAGGAGAAACCAAATCTTAGGAATATGCTGGCAGAACACTGAGCCTGGTAATTATTACACTTTCAAATGTTACATACCAGTAAAAGAATTTTTGTTGAGTCAACTGTCAAGTGCTTTTAAAATGCAGTAACTTTCTTTCCTGATTTCTAAGTTGCTTTTTTTTTACCTTTGATTTTCTTATTATTTAGCTTCTCTGTCTACTTTTTTCTTCTCAGTATCCTCCTTTCTTATGGGTCCACTTTTCTCTAGTTTCCTCAGTCAATTCTTTCTTTTCTTATAGAAGTGTTACTATCATAACAACATATGTAAAAGACCAATAATATTTTATTGACTTCTTTGAGCTTCTAGCTCACATTTGCATTTTAATTAGTCTGATTCCTGTTCGTGTAGGTATCCTTCAAGTAGTGAAGCAGTGTGTCCAGATACCAGTTTTTGTGATGATTCGGCCACGCGGAGGTGATTTTTTATATTCAGATCGTGAAGTTGAAGTGATGAAGGCTGACATTCGTCTTGCCAAGCTTTATGGTGCTGATGGTTTGGTATTTGGTGCATTGACTGAAGATGGACACATTGACAAAGAGCTGTGCATGTCCCTTGTTGGTAAGAATTTGTCTCTGAGACCAAAAAGCCTCTAATGATGATTGCATTTAAGATTCCTGATATAGAAAACTGCAATCACAAAACTAACTTTTTAGTCACACCTGCAGGTACTTATACTAACTATAATAAACAGTAGTTATTTAGATGTTTGGGCAGGGGTATGTGTGGCATAGGCTTCCTCACTCTTTTCAGTTGCTATAGATCAGGTTTTGCTCCTGTTCCTACAGGGTTACAGGAAAGTTTACCTTGATTCCTTTAATCGTTACACCAAAACCACAAAAGCGATTGCATTTGGTAAAAATGGGGAGATGTGGAGAGGACAGAAGTAAACTGTCTATATTACTAGGCCAAAGTATTTCTTGAAAAGTCTCAGAGGAGTGAGTAATGGATGTAATGCTGCCCTTATAGTTGCCAGATTATATAATTTTTATTTGGTGCCTCTAAGGAGTGAATGATCATTTTATTTATTTTATATATATATTATGGAAACAATAGGATTTTTGAATTTGGAAGGTCGCCATTTTATTATTACTTCAGTTCACTTAGGAGAGGAAGATACATAAAAGTTCCATCTAACATGGAGAATTCTGTATCTGGTAATCAGTGATGATCTCATCATTCACGTTGTTATGTGACTTTCTTTTGTAGCTTTGTGCCGTCCTCTGCCAGTCACTTTCCACCGAGGTGAGTCATTTCCATTTTAGAAGTTCTATTGAATAGTGTGTTTTCTAATTTCACCAAATGCCACAACCTTTTTTTGGAACACAATTCTATAATGTTACAGTGTTACCACTTGGTTCCATTCTATTTTATGTTTTTTAATCCTTACCCGAGGATATTTTTCTGTTTATTATTAGATAGAATAGGAGAGAAGGGGGGGCATCAATGTGAGAGAGACACATCAACTGGCTGCCTCTTGCAAGACCCGACCAGAACCAGGGATGAACCACAACTGAGCCAAACCGGCCAAGGAGATTTTTTTTTTTTTGGTACGTGCCCCTAGCGGAAAGGAAACCAAACCTGGGACTCTGGTCTGCAGGCTGATACTCTAACTGCTGAGCCAAACCGGCCAGGGCTCTTTTTTTCTTTTTAAATACATGTTTTTATTGATATTAGAGAGAGAGAGAGAAACGTCTATTGTCTGCCTCCTGCATGCACCTCAACTGAGGATCAAACCTGCAACCTGGGCATGTGCCCTGACCAGGAATTGAACTGGTGACCTTTTGGTACATGAGACACACTCAACCAACTGAGCCACACTGGCCAGGGCCCAATTGGTTTTTTTATACTGATCTTAGGACTAGCAGTGGTAAATTTAAAAATGCACAATTTCTAGAATATATGAAGCTTTAGTTGTGAAAAGTTGTTAAAAAAGACAGTGGTGAAAAAATAGATGGTGGTGGTGGGGTATAATGGAGAGAGTAATCTTTGTCTACAAGTGTATGTATTTGTCATAGCATTCCCAGCAAGAATCCTGAGATTCATTTTTATTAGACGACCTTATGTCTTATGCAACCCCCAAAAGAATAAATTATTGTGGCCAGTGAAATGAAATTTACTGCCTGTTAAGCTAGACAAGACTATTCCTGGAGCTAGGTGTGAGGTTAGCTTCTCCAGGAGAATATATGATTCATGGGTGGAGAGGGGATAGATACCTGAAGAAAAATTGGATTCTATTAGGAAAGAAGAAATAGTTATTGCTGGATAGTCAATGAACATTTGTTCACTATAGTGCACAAAATTGCTTTACATTACTGATAGCTTATCTACGTCAGAATAATATCTAAAATGTATCTAATTTCATAAAAAATACTTCCTGTCTATAAATCAGAGTTATAATTTCCATACCCTTTGGCCAAACATTGGTAAAATGAAAGAACAAGTGTCAGTTTTGCCTCCAGAGGGCACGCTATTGCACAAGAAAAGAAGGAAGTCTTCAGAGTCAATTTTTTTGACTTGATAGTGTTCTTGAGAAAATGTTGAATGTTTTTCTGACCTTTCTTACCCTTTCAGAGATTAGGATAAGAATAGACACCAGCACTTGCATCCATTTATATAAACCAGACATAAAGCATTTATTACCTTGTTTTACTTTAAATGGATAATACCAACAGAAATCTGTTTTCTTGACTTCTTAAGAAGCTGTGCTTCTCATTAACTAGCATTAACAAAAAGATGTTAGATTGCTTAAAAGCCAGAACCTTGAGGCTAGTCAAAAATAATTTTAATTGGTAAACATTTATTTGAAAAACATATAGTTTAAAATTTGATATTGTGTAAATAATTGAAATAAACCCATCATATTGAATGTGGTTTTTTTTTTTATTCTTAAACTAAGAAAATCATTTTAAATTTCTGTTCTTTTCCTTTGCAGTCACAAAACTGACTTTTCAGCCACACCTGCAGGCACTTATACTAATCTGTTTCATATAAGTTTATAAAACTATTCAATAAGTTTAACAAAAATATTTTCACGTTCTCAAAATTTTATATTGACCTGGGTTCCATATTTTTTTCACTCACATATTTAATGAGATAGTATAGTGTAATCACTGCTGCCACCAAAAAAGGGAAATCCTTTATAGTAGATTTGCCTCCATACACTTTCGGGTAAAAGGAAGGGGTCTAGCTGGCACCTAGTTTCCTATATATTAGAACGCCCATAGCATGTAGCAGTGCTGAGAGCCAAAGCAGAAGTAATTCTGTTTGAGGTTCCTAGTGCTACTTTCCTCTCTGAGGAGGAGAGAAGTTTTATAGAAAGTAGGATGGAAAAGAAACCTCATATAATCTGTTGTAAACAACTGTCTTTGTACAGTGGGCCTTGGGTATGTAGGGTAAATAGATTAGTACAGACTATGAGTCAATAATGAGAATGTGAACCAAGGCCATTTTTTAGAACTAATGAGTGATGTTTTATTCTACTTATTCAGTTTATCTGAAGCTTTAGGGCATACTTTCCCAAATTTGAGTCACTTGCCAATCACATTTGCAATTTTACCATACCTGATTACTACCTGTGGAAATTTATTTAATAATTTTCTTAAAATAAATCCTAAATAAATGTATTGTAAAGAGAAACTTTTATAACTAATGAGAAATGGAAACTTTTTACTCTGATCTGCATTTAATAAATGCATCTGTTCAAATGTGTACCACCTAAATGATCATGCATACCACCAGTATGCAGACTGTAGTGTGCTGGTAAACTGGCTTTGGGGGTGGGGGGTATTCTGAATTTTAGCATTTGTTGATTTCTGTGGTTTAAATACTGCCACCTTGCCCTGGCTGGTGTGGCCCAGTTGGTTGGAGCATCATCCTATACACAGAAATTTTGTAGCTTTGATTCCCGGTCAGGGCACATACCCAGGTTGCAGGTTCGATCCCCAGTTTGGGCACATACAAGAAGCAACTGATCGATGTTTCTTCCACATATTGATGTTTCTCTCTCTCTCCCCTTCTCTCTTCCTCTCTCTCTCAAATCAATAATAACATATCGTTGGGTGAGGATTTAAAAAAAAAATACTCTCATCTTAATTGATTTCAAGTTGCCAATTGATTAATAATCATGTTTGCAAAATTTCTGAATATTTAACAATTGGCTCTTGCAAGCCAGGGCAAGCCAAGTCCAGCACACCACTATGTATATACTACATTTTAGAAATCACTGTGTTAGTGATACCTGCTCAAAATTTAAATCAATTTTATTTATTTCAGCCTTTGACATGGTTCATGATCCAGTGGCAGCTCTAGAGATTCTCTTAACCTTGGGATTTGAACGAGTACTGACCAGTGGATGCGACAGTTCGGCACTAGAAGGGCTACCTTTAATAAAGCGACTCATAGATCAGGTACACACTATTTCTTTTCTTCCTAAGACTGTTGTGGTTACTCCTGATATTCTGCTGTTCAGCTAAGTTGTGCAAGTAAATATTACTGACTTTGTGTTTACTTTATAGGAAAAAGCAAGCATGCAATAATGTATTTATATAACTCTTATTTTTTTCACATGAGTTTTTTTAGTAACCAAGATCAGATTATAGACAATGCTTATGGATCTTATCTAATTTGGATAACCAGAGCAAATTTTACTTTTTCTCTGCCATCAGCATTGCATAGTTTTAAGCCACATCATCTCATTGGCAGTCTATGTATACTCAGGGGATCCCATATAAAATTTGAGATAATTATCAATTCTAAAAAACTAAAACTATGTTCTTCTCTCATCTCTTCCTATGTATCAAGAAAGTGGAAATATAATATTTCTCTCTTGTATGCCCTGGTACATTAGCATCATTTGTAGAGCCGTCAGACGATGGCTTTGTAATTGGAGTATGTCTATATTTTTCTGACATCAGTCCAGAGGCATTCTAAGTTAGTGAGTATGGACTTTGAGAAGAGAGAGTTCGGATTTGAGACTCAGGTTTGAAATTTATTTGCTGTGTAATGTTGAGTAGATTATTAACCTTTAAACCTCTGTTTCCTCAAATATGAAATTGAGATAAGTTTAATACTTCCTATATAGGGTTGCTCTGAGGATTGGTAGAGATAAGATATCTAAGAGCCTTAGCACAGGGCTTGACATCTTAATACATGTGCGTTTCTATTATTATTACTACTGCTCTTATTAATAATAATATTTAGTATTCATGGGTAGATATCTGTTTAAGTTTTGCTTTTCTACAGCCATGAAAATAATTTTTAGAAATTTCACATAAGGATCTGATGTGACTTTGCTAGTCTGGAACTTATTGATTTTACAAATATTTATTAAGTATGTAGTAGGTGCAGGGCATTTGTATTATGTCAATGACCAAGAGGCATGTGTGTGTCTGTGTGTGTGTATATAAAATCACTGCCCTTACAATCTAGTGCACAACAGGCATTTTTAATAGAGCAAGAAATTTTCATAGAATGCTATAAAAAAAGGTACTGTGGGAATACATTGGAGAGGAATTAACTCCAGATTTGAGGAGTGGGGGTTGGCAGTAGTTAGCTTCCCAGAAGAAAAGACATCTACCCTGTAATGTCTTACTCATTTGAGAGATAATTAGGAGTTACCCCTGTAAAAGGGGGTAGAGGAGAGGAATGCTCCATGTAGAAGAATTAATATATGCAAAGGAATAGAAACAAAAGTGAGCATAATTTAAGATATTGAAGAATTAATATAACGTTGAATATGAAGAGAAGAATACTCTTCAGAGCTTTCAGAACTATTTAAGAGTTTGTATTTTATCTTTTCTGTACTGGGGAAGCCTGCAAGGTTTTAAAATAGAAGAGTTGATGAATCAGGTTTCCATTTTAAAATTGTTACTTACCATGGAGTAGAGAATAATTGCCATAGTCACATAATGCATTTCAAAATCTCTCTCTGTGTGTGTAAGAGATTTGTAGTTTAATCATTGGTTCTCAGGAAGAGCTGGGTTGAATATTTTTATATACTAACTTTTTTTTTTTTGAAGTCCAAATAAGAGCCGTTTATTAGCTGGCTGGCGTCTGATTCCAAACACCCCGTGACAGAGTCTTCAGAATCAGCCTATATACTAACTTTAAAAAAAAATAAAAATTGTATGTATTTAAGGTATATAACATGCTTTGATATATGTGTGTGTGTATATATGATTATAGTGAAGCTCATAGCTATCTATATCACTACTGTGTGTGTGGTGAGAGTACCTGAAATCTACTCTCAGCACATTTTCAGTACTATTAAATATGGCATTGTTAACTATAGTTGTCATGCCGTGGGGGGAGGTTCTCCTGGCTGGTCTAATAATCAAATAGATATGAGACAAATTAGCAAGAGAACATAACCAAATTTAATATGTACCTATGTATAGGAACCCCACATACATGAAAGAGTCAGAGACTCCACATGCAGGAGAGGTTTGTTTATTTTTCTTTTTAAAATATTTTTTATTGATTTTTTTTTTTAGAGAGGAAGGGAGAGGGAGAGAAAGATAGAAACATTAATGAGAGAGAACATCAATTGGCCACCTTCTGTATGCCCCCCATTGAGGATTGGGCCCACAACCTGGGCATGTGTCAGGACCAGGAATCAAACTGGTGACCTCTTGGTGCATGGGTTGACGCTCAACCACTGAGCCACACTGGCCAGACTGCAGGAGAGGTTTAGAGGTAGAAAGGGAACATAAGTATATAAGACATCTTGAGTTAGGGATAAACCCTGGGGGCTTCAAAGGGCCATTGCAGGATGATAAGAACAGAAGTTTAGTAAATTGAAGTTCGTCCTGCTGTATGGATAGGTCAAAAGAAGTTATCTTTGATAATAGTTTATTATGGGCAAGACCCCTAACTCATGTTCTTCTAATTAGTTAGAGGCAGGGGCAGAAGTTTCTCTAGAGCCTGCTGCTAAAATTCCTTTAGCTCAAAGTAATCCACATACCACTGAGTCACATCTTGGGGTGGCTTGTTCTGAACCCCCACAATGCTCTACATTAAATCTCTAGTCTTACTCATCCTATATAACTGCAACTTTGTACCCTTTGACCAACATGTTCCTATTTCCTCCTGCCCCCGGCCCCTAATAACCACCATTCTACTCTCTGCTTCTGTGTATTTGACTTTTTAGATTCCACATATAAATGGGATCATGCTTACTTCACTTGAATACCTTCAAGATATACTATACAATATACTGGTTAAAGCCTACCTAGGCTTTGGGATTGAAAAGGTCTGTGTTTAAATCCTGGCTTTGCCTCTTATTTATAGTGACCTTAAAGAAATTACCTAACCATCCTAAACTTCAGTTTCCTCCATTACAAAGTTAGCGTAATAATGGTACCTACCTCCTAGAATAGTTGTAGATTATTTCAGATAATAGCACAAAGTGTGACACTTAGTAAGTGCTTTGTATTGTTAAATGACTCTGATTTATGTGTGTATTCATAGAAACTAAACGAGAATAAGAACTTTCTGTTGTTCACCACGTCAGGGGAAAAAACACTTTTGGGGGGCTTATATGCCATCTAAGAGGAGGGGGGAAGGGCACTTAGGAACTTAGAAGAGAAAGTAGAAAGAGCATTTATGAGAAGAGAAATGACTTTTTGGAAAGATAAATGGACCCTTAGGAGAATAGATGGAAGATATGATAGTTTTGTGACAATGTTGGTTTGGATGTTTTGCTCCCAGGGAGGGGATTTTTGGTAGCTGAATTCTGTTTTAGTTCTTTTGGGAGGCTCTACTTTTAGGCAGATAAGGAATTTTAAGAACTCAAATGCCTTCAGCTCAAAATAATTTTTATGCCACAGTGACATATTCTGGATCCCTTCAACCACAGTATTTCACATACCTAGAACAGTGCCTGATACATACTAGGCACTTAATAAGTATTGTTGGATGGATGCACAGGTGAGTAATGACATTAGATAAATACATTCATGATTGATCAATTTGATCAGGGTTAAAGAAAATTATTCAGCCCTGGCGGGTTTGGCTCAGCAGTTAGAGCGTCGGCCTGCGGTACAGAGAGACCCGGGTTCGGTTCCCGCTAAGGGCACGTACCTCGGTTGCAGTTTGTCCCCGGCCCTGGTTGGTCGTGTGGGTGGCAACCACTTGATGTGTCCCTTTCACATCGATGTTTCTCTCTCTCTTCCTCTCTCTCCCTCCCGCTCTGTCTGAACAAAAAATGCAAAAATGTCCTCGGGTGAGGATAAAAAAAAAAAAAAAAAAAAAAATTAAATAAAGAAAATTATTCAGAAGGGGGTTCTTTGGAAAATCTCTATAAAATCTATAGATTTTCACAAAATATATACATATACAATTTTTTTTTTTGCAATTTTGGAGCTCTTATGAAAAATTGTTTCCTTTTTCAGTGACAAATGTGCCAGAAGTTAGGGTTTGAGGTCACCTGATCATTTTACTGAGTTCCTGTTACTTAAATACTAGTCTGGGGGTTCTGATTTTGTTGTTGACTCATACTCTAAAAAAGAGTGGACCTTTTTTTTATATCCTCACCCGAGGACATTTTTGCATTTATTTTCAGATAGAGTGGGAGGGAGAGAGGGAGGAAGAGAGAGAGAGAAACATCAGTGTGAGAGAGACACATCGACTGGTTGCCACCCACACAACCCCAACCAGGGCCAGGAACAAACTGCAACCGAGGTACATGCCCTTAGTGGGACTGAACCCAGGACTCTCTGGTCCATGGGCCAACGCTCTAACCGCTGAGCCAAACCAGCCAGGGCAAAGAGTGGTGCTTTTTACATCTTAATGTTGTAATATGCAACTAAAACAATTTTGTAGCAATCCATCATTTTTTTTATGACCACTCTTTCCAAGTTATTTGTTGGTCTCTGTTTCCCTTTTTGCACCAGCATATCATTTCTTACCCTCACTTTCTTTAAAAAAAATTGGAATCCTGTTCATAGATGGCTTCTACAATGTATCTTGCTTTATCGGAGCTACTTTAGAATTTTGCTACACAAAATCTTTCAAAGGACAATCAGATTGAATGTTCACCTTAACTTTATAGTGATAGTTACTTAGAACTCATTAAAGTATCTATAACTTGTCTTAAAAATAAGGAGAAAGATTGTGTCTCCTTTTACTCATAATTATCTATATTCTTTCCCTACTTATTACCTTCCTTTTCACTGCTTTTATGCTATCACTGCTTTCGAGACTTTCTGTTTCTCTTCCTTTTTTTGCATTTGTTTTTTCTGGTGTTAGTCATTTTTACTTTACTCCCTTCTTTTGGTTTCTGTTTCATCTATCCTTTGTATCCTCTTTCTCCTTTCTCCTTCTGCCCCTCTTCTCACATTGGACATGATACCTCTTTTTCTCTTCTCCCCATTTCTCTTCCCCACACTAAGTCCATCTTTCAGTTTCTTCATTTGTCCTAACTGGATGTGAGGTAGAATTAAGTACTTTTCAATATTAATTATATTTATTGAATACATTAGTTGAATGTTTCATTGTTTTATGGAAAAAGAAACTAAGTTATGGGTAGTTATTGATTGAATTTTTTTTCTGTTGTTCAATAGCACTCAGTAGAAGAGATAGCCTACACTATACCCAACTCAGGACCGGGTAGACAAAGTGCATACATAAGCTGAACAATTGAGGCAAATGACTTAGAACTGTGTTCGATTGGCAGGATTGGCTGGTCCAGTATTAAAAACCTATCTCAGGGAATCCACATATGAAAAAATTCAATTTATGTATAATGTAAAAATTTTATTCTGCAAATTAGTGAGCCTGAAATAATATATAATTTTTATTCTGTCCTTGTTTCCTACTAGTAGTTCCACTAAGTATGTGTTTGTAATGGGGTGATTTCCTTTTGACTTTCAGTGATATATTACCAAAATTTATTTAGGAAATGTGATGGAAATTGTAATAAAACTAAGGAAATTTCAATACCTTTCTTGTAGAATTATCATAAATTTAAGCAAGTCATATAGTTCAGTTTTATTACCTAAAACCCAGTTAAATGGACCTATGGTTTTATTTAATTGGTATGATAAGGTAGGGAATTTAGTTGAGGATACAACATTTGAGTAGGTCCCCCGACCAGTAGTTTACAGTTATGTTATGCTCTTTCTTTACTGCTGAAATTGTAAGTTCAACTACTTCCGTCCTATCACATACCAAGAACTCAGATTAGTGTTCTTTTTCAGTAATGGCTTTCCTTAAAGTGGTGTGATTATTCAGTATTTATATTGTGTTCACAACAGTACAAGTTTTAAAAATAATACAATAAAATAACTGGATAGAAAGAGTTACTATGCTGAACATCTTACTTACCTAAGATCCCAAAGAAACAGGAAAGATCTATTGAAAACTAGTTTTTAAAACTTAATATACTTACATTTCTATTTTCACTGCCTTACTATCTCATTTAGAGAAAGATATTAAAATTTACTTGTTTATTTTTTTCTTTTTTCAGGCAAAAGGCAGGATTGTGGTAATGCCAGGTATTTATCTATCTATCCATTCACTAGTGTAACAATGAATTGTAGTGAAGGAAGAGTAAAGGAGGCAGGGCAATATGGGAGAAAGTATTAGTACGTAGTGTTCAGAAAGAAGAATATTATCATTTGATTAAGATGGTAGATGTCTGCTGTAACTTAAAACTTTGGATGAGGAGAACATTCTAGCAGGGATAAGCTCAGAGAAGAGCAAATAAAGAAGGAGATTAGACTTGGACTTTCCCCATCTTTGCTCTCCCATAGTGTAGAATTTTGTGAATGAGGATGTTCATCTCTGGTGAGGCACTCCAAAGTTGCTGCTACACAGTGTTAGGGCCAAATGTCTAAGTTGTTAACAACGTGTATGCAAACATAATATCCCTGGATAAATATACTCAGTTCCTAAAAATCTCTGATCACCAAATTCTTCCTTGTAGTTCACACAATCAGATTATATGCTCCTGATAACTATAAAATCAATGAAGTATATAATGGCTGATTAGAAATGAATAAATTTTAGTAATATTTTCTCATGTTTTTATTTATTTTAGAGAGAAGAAGGGAGAGGGAGGGAGAGAGAGAGAAACATCAATTTGAAATAAGCATCCATCAGCTGTCTCCTGCACACCCCCTACTGGGCAACCTGGGCATGTGCCCTGACCAGGAATCGTACCAGCAACCTTTTGGTGCATGGGACGACACTCTACCAACTGAGCCACACTGGCGAGGGCAGAAATGGACAGTTTTTAAAGAATTAGATAAGGTGACCTAGAATCAGAGGGAGACAAATATAAAGATTATCTCAATTTTTTCTTGTTAAATTTCTCAAACATACAAATAGCATATACTCATTCCATGGATTTAACATTTCGTAACATTTGTCTTATCTTTTCTTATCCTGAGGTATTTTAAAGTTCAATTAAAGGCATCGTGACATTTTATCTTTATGCATCTTTAAAAAGTAAGGGCATTTTACTATAATCACAATACCATTATCATATTTATAACAATAAACGCTAATTCTTTAATGCCATTTAATATTCAGTCAATACTCTCCTTTCTGTAGTTGCCACAGAATATGTTTTATAACTGATATGTTTAAATCAGGATTCCCATCAAAGAATAAATACTGTACTTGGTTGTTACCTTAATATTTTTTAATATAGAAGTTATCTTTCCCTTGTTTTTGAAAAAATGAAATTTTAAAAGTTTTGGTCACTTATTCTGTAAAATGTCCTACTTTCTGGATATATCAAATTGTTTCCTTTTGATATTGTTTAGCTTGTATTTTCTAGCCACTGTGTTTCCTGTAAATTGGTAGCTAGATTGGATTCTGGTTAAATATTTTTGATAAGAATACTTTATGGGTGATTTTGTCCTTTATGGGTGATATATCACATCTGAAGGCATACAATGTCTGGTTCTCTCGCTACCAGTGATGCCAAGACCAGGGCTCAAAATGGTGATAGCCAAATGAAGACCAACTTTTATTTATTTATTTATTTATTCATTCATTCATTCATTCATTTATGAAAGATTTTTTTATTGATTTTTTGAGAGAAAGGAAGAGAGAGGGAGAGAGAGAAACATGTATGTGAGAGTAACATCACTTGACTGCCTCCAGCATGCCCCCTACTTGGGATCGATCCTGAAACCCAGACATATGCCCTTGACCAGGAATCGAACCAGAAACCCCTTGGTGCACGGACGATGCCCAACCAACTGCAAGACTAAAGGCCAACTTTTAAAAAGAGTTCAGATAAAGGGATAGTATCAGACATTTAGGAAAGCTCTGACCTGTAGCAAGTCCCTGAACCATGAGCAGATACAAAAAGACTTAATTAAGTCTAATGCATTTCTATTTAAAACTAAATGTATTTAGCCTTGACAGCTAATAGCCAGACTTAGATAATTGTTAATATTAAGATTGCCTTTGCTTATTATGTAATTAAGTTATCTACCATGTGCAAGGCATTACTTGGGATGCAGAGTTACACAAGAAACTACTTTCTCAAGAGGTTTAGGTGAGAAGATGTATACAAAAATAGTTGTGATTATTTAACAAACCTTACCAAGCAAATGATAATTATATTTTAGGTTCTGTGGTTGATATGATAAGAGAGAAATAAATATGAAGTAATTTGTTTACTTGAGGAGCTCTATAAATAGATCTATAAATAAATTATTACAACTTCATGAAAATAAGTACCAATAAGCAAAAACTCCTAGATAAGTCAAAATGAATGCCTAATGAGTATTCATTGAGAAATACAAAGAAAAATAGAACATAGTAGTCTCCCTCTAGGGACTTTCATAATGAAGCTTACAACATATTTAGGCTCCAGTTTCCTCTGTAAAGAGAGGATATTGAACTAATTGTCCTCTTTGGTTCCAACTGTAAAAATGTGTTACTCTGTGTTTGAAAATGTATTATCTATGCCCTAAAATGACTGATAACTGGAGCAACATGGTTTCAGTGGCCAGATAGCTTGCTGTGTTTTAGAAGGAAATAACAGTTGTCTTTTAATCCTTGTAACAATTATCCTCTTTTATTGGTGAAAAAAAAAATGAGGCTCAGTGGTTTAAAGTAATTTATCTAAGATCCCATAGCTGTGAAGAGTTACAGTGGTGAAGCTAGGATTCCAATCTAAATCCAACTTCTCAGTCTATATTTTTTTTTACTTAGGGCTCAGTGATGTTACTGTACCGCTAAGAAAAAAAAACTTAGAGTCCAGAAGAGTATGTAAAGTCAAGTTACTTCAGCAACTTGAGAAACAAAGCACGTATTTTATCAGTCATTAAACATATTTATTGAAAACTCCTATATATTAGGAGATAAGGATATAAAGATCAATAAACTAATTTTATATTTATAATCTGGTATCAGTTGAGAATATGATTCTTTATATATAAATATTTAAGAGATTGTTCATTAAAACAAATGAGTCATCATAAAGTACTTTATTGTGCACTTTTAATATAGATACAAATTCTTCTGTGAAATGAAACAAAAAATTGATATTATAATGAATAAACTATATAACACCTGGCATTATTCCCCATTTCCAGTGACATCAGTGTGGTCTTCAAATGCTGGTCCAGAGAGGGTGTGAGATTCTCTTTCAGACGCATTCTGAGGCTATGCTTTTATAGTTTTGTCTTTAAGCTTACTTCTTTTGTTTTAATTTGATTTTTCTTTAATTGAGGGGTAGCAGGGATAGAACGCTTGATGATTTTTATTGCCCTAGAGTAATCTTTTGAGATTTAACGTCTGTAGCATATAACATTGCCAATGGACATAGAAGATTCCATCATAGGTTCTGTGACCTTACCAGTTGTTCTTTAGAATCTGTAGTTTGTATTTCATCATTCTTTTCTAATTTTATTCTAGCTTATTAGAGAGAGAATAATTCTTGAGTTAATGAGAAATTTCAGTATGGGGATTATAGGTAGATCAAGCAGTCATTATTATTTAATGCAGTCATTATTATTTAATATTTATGCAGAATTCTATTCTACTTAATGTATTACTTATTTTTTCCCACAGGGGGTGGTATAACAGACAGAAATCTACAAAGAATCCTCGAGGGTTCTGGTGCTACAGAATTCCACTGTTCTGCTCGATCTGCTAGAGATTCAGGAATGAAGTTTCGGTAAAAGTATTCTTTGACTCATACAAGAAGGGATGAAATTAATCTCCTCCACACAGGAAGACTTTAGTTAATGGCATGATAAATGAATGGAATGTTGTGATTAGTACATAAGTATTGCAGTCATTTTGCAACTGCAAAATGGGGATGTGAGGGCAATCTGGCTTCAACATTTGTCATCCCATTGATAGCCAGGGTTGATTCGGCTGATCTGACTGGCTAGGTAGGTGTACCCTTCCTCCTTCACCCATGGTTCCATGTGTGTCCCTCCTGAAGCTATATGCTCAGTCGAAGAGGACGACCTTCCCTGATAGAGAAGCAGACTGCTCTTTGGTTAAGGGGCATATAAGTAGCTGCACTCCCCTGCTAGAACCTCTAAACAAGCTCTCAAGGTCCTTTGTAGGAGAATGTAGGGTAGTTAAGCTTCCAAAACTCCAGACACATCCAAATGAGGTGCTGTGTGTGGCAGTGTGCCTTTCTTTTAAAAAAGTCAACTGCAAAATGGTTCTTATCCTGCTTTAAATAAGCAGAATTTTCTGAACATAGGTGAACCATTATATCATTAAGTGATTGTTCAACTTAGAACAGTTAATAATAAACTAATTTAGCATCTGTGTTTCAAATGAGTCAGATAAGTATGGAAGAGTCATAGTTGTTTTTATCCCTCCTACCTTTAATACTTGGTCTTCTCTTACTTTTGCTCTCTATTTTCAGTTATTTTGAAATTTTGTCACCATTAAAGAATTGAAACTATTAATAATTTGTTTTTTATTATACTTGAGAGAAAATATATATATATATTTTTAGGGGGGGGGTATGTGCCCTAGTGGGAACCGAACCCGGGACTCTCTGGTCCGCAGGCTGACGCTCCAACTGCTGAGCCAAACTGGCCAGGGCAGGACTTCTATAATTTAATAGTTAGCAGTTGATTATTTATAAATTGGGAAAAATGAGATATAAAAGAAGCAAGAACCTTACAACTTACATTTTAGATACAAATTCAGTTGTATTGTTTGATAGATTTGGTTATTAGATATTTTAACTAATTAATTAATAAAATTATGTAATGTAGTAGTCCAGGGTCCTTGAAATAGCCTATAAAGATGAAGTGCCAGTAGGAGGGTTCATTTAACAACATGTATAATTATCTGTCCCTTTATTATTTCTATTGCAGAAATTCTTCTGTTGCCATGGGAGCCTCTCTTTCTAGCTCAGAATATTCTCTAAAGGTAACCGATGTGAACCAAGTAAGGACTTTGAATGCTATTGCAAAGAATATTCTGGTTTAGCTAGACCTCTCTGAGAGACATGGATATCACAGGATGAAGGCAGAAGAGCAGTTTACAATTCTCTCTGACACCGATTTAACCTTCTTCTCTGGTCAGGACAGCTACAGTCTTTGTTTTAACTCTCACATGGCCATGGAAAAAGTTTTCCAGAAGAAAACTTGAAACAGAGCTGTAATCACTCCCTTTGCTTAATCTTGCTTATCATGGTTAATTCTGGTCTATGCTCCTTCCATAGAAGGAGGCTGTCTGCTTTTATTGGAATTATTTGATGAACTGAGAAAATTCGACTGCAAGATATGAATTTAAAGTGTGACTTTAGGTACAGTTTCATAGCAGTATTTTGCATTTTCATTTGTAAAATAAAAATATACACACTGTTATGGCAGTCTCTTCTTTTTAGCCTAAATAGAGTCTAGCAAAATATTTAAGGGAAGATTTTTGTTTTGTTTTTTCTCTGTTTTCTCTTTTTTGTTATGTATTCATTAGGTATGTTGCCCTGGGCAAGATGCTAAGGATACACAGTAAAATGGTACAGCATAAAAATTCCCAGATTTGGGAAGCAGGATGTATAAGTTCCCAGACTGGAATTAATCACTGGTGTTCACCAGGTTACCTCTACGCTCTGTTCCCAGATAGAAAAATTACTTCACCATAACATTCATCTGACAATTTACAAAGACTGATAGTAAGAATTGGGGAGGTTAGGAAAGTTATCAAAATAGCTATTTCTTTCAATTGAGGCTACAAGTAGGGAGAATATAATCTAATGATGAAAGATACTTTTCCTATGAGCAGGCCCCACATGGAGAAGTTCATCACTAGCTTTATCTGTCACTTTCATATTTATAATATCACTTGACAGTAACAACACATTGGTAATAGAACATGTTTCTATTTTAGGAGAGTAACTGAAGCATAGTATAAAGAGCTTTCTTTTGTTTAGGAAGTTAGTTAATGGGACCTTTGAATATAATGCACAGATTTGGCTACTTATGAATGTATATACTAAGAGCTTTGCCTTTATTGAAATGTGTCCCTTCCCTCGCCTTTAAATCTTAGTTTCTTTCCTCGATTTTTTTAGGTACAATTTCAACGTAGAATATTTGCTAAGTAATTTTTGAAAAATGAGAGGCAAAATAAAAACCAACAGTAACCTGAGTAGTTTATTTTCTTGCTTATTTATACAATTACTAAAAATAAATATTTCAAAACCAGTTTTCATTATTGGCTTTGTAATACATAGACAGATGTGTAAGTATCACACACAAATGCACACAGTCATATTTAGTAACCCTCCCCCATGCTTGGACTTCACTGTATGATCTTTCAAAGATAAGAACAGACCATCTCTATTTAATTATCATCTCTATTTTATTAAAACAGATTAGCTAGGGATTTCAGAGGTGGTAGGAATTGCTCAAAGTTGAACAACAAATTAACGTTTGAATACTAGGCTAACCTCCAACTTCTGCTTTAAGATGCTTCTGGTATGTAGATGTAGTACAGTGAGCAGTACTCCTAGGCAAGTCAGACAGACTGTGATATCCTGGCTGCAAGTTTAAGCATGAGAAAGTTAATTTCTTGAACTTTAATTTTCTCATTTGTAAATCAGGAATTATAACTAAACCGTGGTTTCTGGTTAAATGATATATTAAAGCACCAAGTAATAATAAGTAGCCATTAAATATTAGTTATTTTCTTCAAGGTTAACTTTCTGGTATCTGTCTTTAATAATTTCAAGCCCTTCCCAGGAAACCAGGTATTGTGTATTGAAACCAACACTTAGCACCTTCCACTATGTAAATTAAAAGAAACATAAGGTAATTCCTACCTTGATTTTATTTTTCTACATTTTAGTCCTGTTTTAAAATATTTACTGATTATTTCATGTGTATAAGTTTATTCTCAACAATATTATAAGTATTTTGAGGCTAGAGGATTTCTTCATATTTTTATATATTTTTATTACACTCATCAAATTATATATTCATATTGATTACTATGCTAGTGGAAAAATTCCACTGTCTTTGTTAATTATGCTAAATATCAGGATCTGTTTGCCCCTCCCATTCCACTCTTCCCTTTGTTCTGTAAATTGATTCAAGTAACATTAAAGAAATTCAATAACTATGACCAAGTAGGATTTATACCAGTAATGCATAGCTGGTTTAACATCCAGTAATCAACATAACATACTATATTGATAAAGTGCAAAAATCACATGATCATCTTGACACCGAAAAAGCATTTGATAAACTCCCTTTTATAATAAAAACACTCAACAAACCTGGAATAGAAGGGAACTTTCTCAACCCGATAAAGTGCATCTACCAAAAAAAAATCCACACAGCTAACATCATACTTATACTTTCTTCTTAATATCAGACACAAGATGTCTACTCACCTACTCACCACTTTTTTTTTTTTTTTTTGGTGGCTGTTAATTCTTACCCGACGATGTTTGTCCATTGATTTTCTTTTCTTTCTTTTTTTTTTTTAGATAAAATGAAAGGGAGGGAAGGAGAGAGAGAGAGAAACATTGATGTGAGAGAGATACATCAATTGGTTGCCTTCAGCACGACCCCAACCAGGGTCAGGGACCGAACCTGCAACCCAGGTACATGCCCTTCCCTAGAAATCGAACCTGCAATCCTTTGGTCCTTGGGCTGGTGTTCTAACCACTGAGGTACTGGCTAGGGCCACTCTCACCACTTTTATTCAGCATTGTACTAGAGGTTCTAGCGAAGGCTATTAGGAAAGAAAAAGAAATAAAAAGCATCCAGATTGGAAAGGAAGAAATAAAATGCTTTCCATTTGCAGGTGACATGATTTGTATATAGAAAATTCTAAGGAATAGACACACACAAAAATATGAATAAATGAGTTCAGCAAGGTTGCAGGATATAAAACCAATATATAAAATCAATTGTATTGTTATACACTAGCAATTAATAATCCTAAAATGCAGTTAAGAAAACAATTCCAGCCCTGGCCGGTTTGGCTCAGCGGTTAGAGCATCGGCCTGCGGTCCGGAGAGACCCGGGTTCGGTTCCCGCTAAGGGCATGTACTTCGGTTGCAGTTTGTCCCCGGCCCTGGTTGGTCGTGCAGTGGCAGCCACTCGATGTGTCCCTTCACGTCGATGTTTCTCTCTCTCTGTCTCTTCCTCTCTCTCCCTCCCACTCTGTACAAAAAATGGAAAAAAAAAACCCAAAAAACAATTCCATATATATTAGCATCAAAAGAATAAAATACTTAACAATAGGCATCCCATATTTGTAGATAGAAAGACAATATTGTTAAGATAGCAATAATCTCCAATTGATCTACAGATTCAATGCAATCTCTCTAAAAATCCCAACTACTTTTTAAAACAGAAATTGACAAGCTGATCTAAAATACATCAATCTTGAAAAAGAAGAAAAAAGTTGAAGGACTCACACTTCCTGATTTCAAAACTGGCTATAAAGCTACAGTAATCAAGACAACGTGATAGTGGCATAAAGACGAATTTATAGCTCGATGCAATGGAATTGAGAGTCCATAAATAATTCCTATGTCAATCAATCAATATGTCAATTGATTCTTGACAAGGATGCCAAGACAGTTCACTGGAGAAAATATGGTATTTTTAACAAGTGGTCCTGGGAAAAGTGGATATCCACATGCAAAAGAATGAACTTGGGCCTTACTTTGCTTCATGTACAAAACAACTCAAATGGATGCTAGACCTAAATAAAAGAGCTAAAACATAAAACTCTAAAGAAAATGGGAGTAAATCTGTGACCTTGGGTTAGGTAAAACCTTAGCTATAACAGTAAAAGCACAAGTGAAAACGGGGAAAAAGGGGTTAATTGGACTTTATCAAAATTGGAAACTTGTACTCCAAAGGATAACATCAAGAAAGTGAAAAGACAATCCAGAAAATATTTGCAAATCATTTATTTGACTGTGGACTTGTATTCAGAATATATAAAGATTACTTACAGCTCAACAATAAAAAGACAATCCAATTTTTTAATGGGCAAAGGATTTAAGTAGACATTTCTCCAAAGAAGGTACACAGTTGGCCATGAAAAGATACTCAACATTAGTTATTAGGGAAATGCAAATCAATGAGATATCACTTCACACCCACTAGGATGACTATAACCCCAAAGACTGACCATACCAATGATGTGGAGCAACTAACATCTACATGTACTTCTGGTGAGAATGTAAATGGTAGAGCTGCTTTGTAAAACACCCTGGGAGTTTCTGAAAATGTTAAACAGAGTTTTCATATTACCCAGCAATTCCACATCTATGTATACACCCAAGAGAATTGAAAACATGCCCATATAAAAACTCGCATATGGATGTTCATAGCAACATTATTCATCTTTTAGAATTAGAGAATAAACATTTTGCATCCCCTAATGAAATTAATCAGTCAAAGACCATCAGTGCTAAAACTATTAGGTAAAAGATAGGAGCTGAATATCCACATGGTGTCAAAACATCACCCTATACATTATTTGCTAGTCATAAAAATGGAAACTTAACCTTATAATGGATCTACCTGGCTGTTTCTAGCTAACTCAGTAATAAATATTACTAGCAGCAAAGCCTATATTGCTGTAGGACAGGATTTCAGAAGGGAAGAGGTCATCGTGAGTGTACAACCTGTATTGGGAAATTGCAGTTTGGAGGTCCCCAATGTTAGAAGAGCTAAGAGTTGGACCACCTGGGAAGTGGCTGTAACAGAGTGTGATGGTTAGCCATTGATAGAGCAATAGTGAACTACAAACAGCACCAGCTCGTAGGGTGACCAACCATCCCAGTTTGCTTGGAACTTTTCTGATTGTAGCATTAAAAGTCCCATATCCTGCGAAACTCCTCAGTGCCAAGTAAACTGGAAAAATTTGGTCACCCTACCAGCTCAGTGAAAGTATCTTTGCCTCTTTCCTTGGTCCTCACCTCCCTGCCCTAATCCTGAAATTAGGAGTTGAGAGGAAGTGGGATGGAATAACAAGAAAAATGGAAAAAGGAATGACACTTCTCTTCCTGGCAATAGCTGATCCCTGAGCCAAGAAAGGGGAGGGGCTTTAAATTAGATGTGAGTTTGTTTTGTGGGTGATATAAATGTTCCAAAATTGTGCGACTATGAATATGCTAAAAATCATTGAATCATACACTTTAAGTGGGTGAATTGTATAGAATTCATATCTCAATAAAGCTGGTTTTAAACAAATGAATGTAAGAGTGTTTTGTTTATTTTTTAAAATTAATTTATTTCTTTTTGTTACAGATGTTTCTTCTTTTTCCCCCACTGATTCCCCCCTCCTCCATCCTCCCCACACTGTCCCCAGCTTTGTTGTCCATGTCCATTGTTC